CAGGAGCTGCGCGAGTGGTTCGCTCGCCGCTGGAGGCGTGCTGCTGAGTTTGGAGGTGCTGCTGGAGCTGGAGCTGGAGCTTCTTCGACCGTCGAGGGTGCGGGTGCTGCCGGTCCCGGAGCTACTGGACCTGCGGGTCCTCCTGGAGCTGGAGCTGCTGAGGGCGTTGGTGCTGAGCCTGCTGCTGTTGGTCCTGCCGCTGGAGGTGTGGGTGGCGCTGGTGCTGTCTCTGAGGGCGCTGGTGCTGTCCCTGCTGCGTCTGGAGCTGCTGAGCCTGGGGTTTCTCCTGCTGCTGCGTCTCGCCTGGAGCCCCTCTCTCCACAGGAGCTGCGCGAGTGGTACGCTCGCCGCTGGAGGCGTGCTGCTGAGTCTGGAGGTGCTGCTGGAGCTGGAGCTGGAGCTTCTTCGACCGTCGAGGGTGCGGGTGCTGCCGGTCCCGGAGCTGCTGGACCTGCGGGTCCTCCTGGAGCTGGAGCTGCTGAGGGCGTTGGTGCTGAGCCTACTGCTGTTGGTCCTGCCGCTGGAGGTGTGGGTGGCGCTGGTGCTGTCGCTGAGGGTGCTGGTGCTGTCCCTGCTGAGTCTGGAGCTGCCGCGCGGCCTCGGCCGTACTTCGTTCCGCTCCTACAGCAGGTTCTTGGTCTTTCTCCTTCGGTAGAGTGTCCACAGCCTGTCCAGTCGCAGTCACTGTTGGAGCCTTCCTCTCCTCTGCCTGCTCCCTCTCCTTACACTGGTCCTACTGGAGGTCTTGCTGAGCGTCGTGAGCCTGCGTCTCGTCCCGCGTCGCCTGTTCGTGCTGCTCGCGCTAGTGGTCGCGGTTCGCGTCAGCGTCCTCCTCCTGTCCCTGGCACGCACCGGATGTCTCTGCGTCCGTCCACTGCTCCTCTGCGTGCCCCTTTGCCTTCGCCTCCTGAGTCCTCTCTTCCTGCGCTTGCCGACCCTGAGTCGGACTCTCTTCGCGCTGCCAGTCCTACTGTCACGCGTCTGCTTGCTACTGTCGTCACTGACCCCTCTTTTGAGTCCACTGCTGCGTCTGCTCTAGTCGCTGAGCTCGTTGACTTTGCTGCTCGCTGTCGTCTCGACTACGCTGCTGGTCTTGTTGCTGAGTCTGCGTCTGTCTGTCCTCCGTCCGTCGGGGGTGAGTGTGCTCTTGGCACGGACGTCCTAGAGGACAGACAGGAGGAGTTACAGTGTCTAGCGGCTGCTTCACCTCATCTCGCGTCTGTACTGCTTGCCCCTGAGGGAGACCCGGATGCACTAGACATCCCGACTCCGCGTTCTTACGCGGAGGCCGTAGAGGGTCCCTACTCCTCTCAGTGGCAGGCAGCTATGGATGCAGAGATGGCTTCCTGGAAGTCCACAGGCACCTACGTTGACGCAGTTCCCCCTCCTGGGGCGAACATCGTCAGTGGCATGTGGATCTTCCGGGTGAAGCGGCCGCCGGGCTCTCCACCTGTCTTCAAGGCGCGGTACGTTGCTCGTGGCTTCAGTCAGCGGCAGGGAGTTGACTACTTTCAGACCTTCTCTCCCACCCCGAAGATGACCACTCTTCGGGTGCTGCTGCACATAGCCGCTCAGCGCGACTACGAGCTGTACGCTTATTCTCACATCCTCCAGTGCTGTACGTCGACAACAAGGCAGCCATTGCCTTGTGTGAGGAGCACAGACTGGAGCACAGAACGAAGCACATCGCTCTGCGCTACTTCCTTGCTCGAGAGCTGCAGCAGCGTGGTCAGCTTCGTCTGCGTTACGTGGCCACTGAGGCCAACACTGCTGATGTGTTCACCAAGGCGCTTCCGCCTGTTGACCATCAGCGCTTTTGCACTCTTCTAGGCCTTGTGCCTACTGGACCTCACTTGCTTACTTCTTGACTCTGTTTGTACTGTGATCTCTATATATACCTGCATGTTTACTCTTGCTAGGTTTTGATCATTGTACCTCTTGCTCTATTATAAACCTGCATGTGAACTGGTCTTGTGACCACTTGCTTGTGCTCGGAATTTGTGTGGTATCCTCGAGATCCACCCTGAGCTTGTTTTGCCTTGCTTTGCTTTGACTGGTCTTGTGACCCCTAGTTCTCCCCCATTTTGCCTATGGGGGTGTGTCAAACATTGTATGTTCTATCTGTTTAGGCTACAGTGGGTTAGCCTATAGGGGGTACACAATTCTAGGGTTTCCTACTTGTACTCATTTCACTGCTAGTTCATCCATTCCTGTTTTGTACTTCTGACAAATGTGTGAAGAAACAGTGTTAAAAACAACATCTAAACGTTGAAACGGTGACATGTTGCGCGCAGGCCTATCCTTGCACAAATTCAGGCCAGCAAACGCACAAACAAGCGTCACGTGCTGTGTAGTTGGGCGAACAAGATCAAATCAGTTCCTATAGCAAGGGAATAGGATGTGCTACCTGAATATGTGAATACATGGTGCTAAAAACAACATATAAACTTTGAAACGGTGGCATGTTGCGCACAGGCCTATCCTTGCACAGGCCAGCAAACGCACAATCAAGCGTCTCGACACGTGGTGCCGTTTCGACGTCCAGTTATTTTGGTTTCTTTTGCTCATCCAAAATATTTTACTATCTTGCTTGCATGCTCGTCAAATCTGGTGCGGTTAGGACAACGGGGTTAGAATGCACAATGATTTACTATCTCTTTCTGTTAAGTATTTTGTCACAAGGTGAACTTGATTTACGTTACATGAGGAACCATTTTTGTGCGACGTTAATTGCTCGACATGAAAATATTATGCAATCAATTATGTTTTTATAAGAGTAAACATATGCAACTGTATGCAGTTAAAAGAAAAGGCTTTGCACATTGAAACATCTTTGCACATTTGTGCTGAGGTAGCCAAAAACGGAGCTGAACAGTGACGCGCGAAATTCTGCCATCCGAGCAGTTCGCGCGCGACACAGGACCTGCAATGTGATTGGCGCCAAACCAATCCCTCGAATTCCAAGCCAAAAACGAAGCAGCGCTCCAAAATCTGGTTCGGTTTCGGAGCAGCACCAGACTCAATTGCCCTGCCAAAGTAACTTCACCAAACTAACTTGAACATAAGTAACTTTTGGGGGCTCGTCAAATTTGGGATGATGCTATTAGTTTTTCTCTCGCGCTCTCGCTCATCTGCTCTCGCTCTCGCTGCCACCTTGGAGCATTTCAGGGCTGCCGGAAGCCCTCGTGTGATCTCGCGCCGCCGACGGTTAACCGGCCGCATAAACACGCGCTGCCTTTCATCGCTCCGCTATTCGTGTTCGCCTCCCCTTCACGCCTCTACCTATTTTTATGCCAAGCATGCCGTCGTTCACAACGAGGCCTGATCGCGCGCCTCGCCTCCCTGACGCCCCTTCGCGAGTCGGGTTGGCGCCACCCCTGTGGAACAGAAAGCCTGCCGCACGCCCCCCTGCAACGCCCTTCCCGCTCTCTGTGTGACTGCGTTGGCGTCTCACCTTCGCCATACTTTTATTTTTGGCAGCGGTGGCAGCCCCAAGCGTGTCCGCGCAACCACTCTCGCTCCCCTCTTCAGGTAAGTAGCACCGCGCACCCTCCAGCCTTTCTCAGTCGGTACCGTATCAAGCCACATGATCATTCGTTTTCCCTGTTCTTCTGCAATGACGCTCTCTCTTTCGATCCGCTGCTCCCCACCTCACCTCAATACCCCTGCCTATGTGCATGGTACTCGGGCTTGGAATGCCGATCAGGCTGCCAACCCACTCTCGTGAATCGCTGTGGCCAACGCCTTTGCGTTCACCCCCCCTCTCTTGCCACTGCTGGCGCTTGGCCTTGTGCTTCGGGAAGCCCGTCGGGCCCGCCCTGGCTCCCTCTCTAGCTCCCCGGTCGCGTTTGTCTCACCCCTCACTGTCTCAGCTCACAAAACCCCTCCCCCCCCCCTCGTCCCGGTGCTCCCAACCCGCCTCTCCTCCCAGTTTCGCGCCCTTTGTCGCTACGACGCCGTCCCCACCTCTCGCTCCGGGTCTGGCTCGTTCCCCCCTGGTGGCTTCCATGACTCGCTTCTTCCTTGACCCCCCACGTCTCAACATGCTGCTATACCGCCCCTCTGTCCCCCTGGATCAGTCTTCCCTCCCTCATGCCTCTCAGGCTCCACCCTGGACCCTCAGATGGCCCTGAGGCCCTGCTGCTCCACCTTCCTTGCCCTTCGCATCCTCGCTCGTGTCACTCCCTGCCCCTCCTCTCACTCTGTATTTCAGGCAGCTTGACTCGCCTTTTCGGCTTCCAAGAAGTTTTTTCGCCGATGGAGAACTATCCCCCTTTGCATGCAACCCTAGCAACCTCTGCTGCCCCTTGTCTGCGTACCCCGCGATACCGTATGGCAGTTTTTTACACGCTGCCATGTCTAACAGGCTTCATTTGTGATTGTGCATTAACTAGATGCGACCTGTTTTTTCCTTGCAGCTCCATATCTTGTAAAATTTATAGCTGGAAACATTGCCACCAGTATATCACTACACACTTCTCCCGTCGCAAACTGTCAACACTCCCTAATAGTGATAACACATCGCTCGTTTTTGTCACAAGCCGTAAAAGGGGTCGGACCTTTACGAACCACGAGTACCACGCAATAGCACCCAAGGTCTTTCTGTATGCTTCCTTGCCACACTCAGCACCCGCCTTGATCCACCCGTCAGCCTTGCGGGGTACCTACGGTGATGCTCACATAAAGCTAGGTCGCACATACTGGTACACTGTTCTCACCCCAAACTCCATACAGTTTTCGCTCTTGCAGCTCTCAGACTTCATGGCGCTACGCAACTTCTACATGCTGACATGCAACCAAATGTCGCGACGGCACCATGAACCTTACCATGACCTGCACTTCACGGGCTCCGCCTCCTTTTCAAACACTGCCCGTCACAACTTCCTTGCTAGGCCGTGGATACGCACGAGCTCTCGCGCGGTGGCCTTCACGTCGTTACCATGTTAACACACCTCCGCATCCTATGCATCAATGTGAATGGAATCAACGAGACACGCAAAATGGATGAACTCAAGTCTTGGCTGGCGAGACTTCCGGCACCCGCTGACCTGGTCATCCTCATTGACACCCGGCTCATCCACAGAATCCCCAACCTCGACCTAAAACTTCGACCTCACTCCTCCGCTCACGCCCCAGCACTTCTCTCTACCGAGAGCGCCACAGGGAGGCCCACGCTCATCGGCGGTGTCTCTATCCTCTCTTTCAACAGGGCTATCTCACTGTCCTCTCCAGCCCCCTCCGCAGACGGCAGACTAATCACTGTACACCTCAACTATTTGCGTGAGCAAATCCGCCTCATCGCCATTTACGCCCCCACACAATTCTACGGACGCAGAGTATGGTGGACCACCACACTCGTCCCGGCACTGGAAGCCCCCACCGCCGCCTCCGCATCCATGCTAGCAGGAGACTTCAACTCGGTCGTCCTCCCCATCGATAGGAATCGCCCTCCCAAAGACTTCGAGGCTCGAGAAGGCGCCTCATTTGCCAAACTCATGGAAAACCACGCCCTGATCGACACCTTCCGCGAACTCTTCCCCACGCCGACCAACGTCTTCTCCTTTTTCGGGAGGCAACGTCTCAATACTGCGACACCCCCCACCTCCTCCCGACTCGACAGAATATACATCTCTCGAGCTTTCATACCCCGCCTCACTGCAAGTCCGTACATCCAGACCCGCACGGCAATCACGGACCACCTCTACGCCCCTCTCTGCTCGCTCAGCTTCATCAACCCCACAGTTGCCCCCCGCCCCTGGCGCCTCCGACAGCATCTACTTATGCGCCCTCATGTCTCTCAAATCATCGACTCCTACCTCGCAATCTTCCCAAGCAATCCTTCCCCAGACTCCTGGGACTCATGGAAGCTCGACCTCACCCTTAACCTCAAACGCTTCTCCAACCAAGAACGGCGCCGCGTCGATGGCACAGTCGCACATCTGGAATATACCATCGGCTGACTTCAACGACATGCTGCGTATACGCCCCTGACCCAGGCCGAGTCTAACCGCCTTGACCAAGCAAGACTCCACCTGGCCAGGTATGAAGCCTCAAAAGCCTCCGAAATTGCGCTCAAGGCCAAGCTTAAAGTGGAAGGGCACAGGGAAATGGGAGTCTCCTCCCTTCTCTCTGGCCTCAACTCGCGAATCAAGGGCTCGATCATCAGCTCCCTGACCTTACCCAATGGACAAACAACGTCGGACCTCCCCACCATGACAAACCTGTGCTCCAACTTCTTCCAGACACTTTACAGCGGGAACAACCCCGCCTCCGTAAACTCGGCCTTCTGGCAACACATCCCTCCCTCCTCCATCCCGAACCCCCTACTCCTACGCCTCGGCGCCCCCTTCTCCCTAGCTGAAATTGGAAAAGCACTACTCTCTCTGTCCCGAGGAAAAACCCCCGGCCCAGACGGTCTGCCCGGGGAACTCTTTCGGCAATTCGCCCCACGATTTGCACCGGTCTTCCATTCCCTGCTCTCCCCTCCGCAACCTCTCTCTCGCTTACCCCCGTCTATGCTGACCGGACGCACCGTCCTCATCCCCAAACGGGGTGACTCCTCGCTCGTAGAAAATCTTCGCCCCATCACCCTCATGAACGCTGATTACAAGATACTCGCGCTGTGTCTTGCTAACCGCCTCCAGCTCGTTCTTCCCCAGATCATCCACCCGTCCCAAACCGCCTTCATCAAACACAGGAAAATTGGAGACACAATCAACGACACCCTTGACATCATGGACTGGGCAGCATTCTCATCAACCCCTCTCCTCGCTCTTACGGTAGACTTTCGAAAGGCCTACGACCTGGTCGACCGCCCCTTTCTCCTCCAAGCCTTAGCGGTCCTAGGGATTCCAGCTCCCTTCATACATTGGGTACGACTAATGCACTCCGACACGAACACACGAATCTCCGTCAACAACATGCTCGGCCCAACCTTCCCTGTCCGTACGGGCGTCCGACAGGGTTGTCCTCTGGCACCTCTTCTTTTCGTCTGTGTCATAGAGATCTTCCACCGATACATGTCTCTCTTCCTACCCGGCTTCTCTCTGTCTCCCGTCCAGCGCCGACTCATGGCATGTTACGCGGACGATGTCACTCTCTTCCTCACCTCAGACACAGAGCTCGGCCTCGCAGTGATACTCCTCGGCGTCTTCGGTTCCGTGTCTGGGGAGGTACCCAATTGGAACAAGTGCTCTATTATTCCCTTCAATATTCCCCCCACTGATCTCGCGCATGACGGGCCTATCCCCGTCCGAGCCCCCAGCGAAGCAGAACGCATCCTTGGAATTTATGTTGAACGATTACACCCCGGATCCACCACCTGGACTAAGGCTCTCGCCCGTATACAAAACACCGCCAAATTCCTGGCGGCCTTACATGCCACTGTCACGTGCCGCAAATCTCTGTCATCGATCTTTCTGAACTCCGTCATCTCCTATCCCGGCCGCTTCCAACCTGCTCCACTGAACATCATCAAACGAATTGACATATCAGTTGGGAACTTCCTCTCGTCCTCAAAACATAAACAGGACGGCCTCGCACAACGCTTCCTCCCCAATGGCCTCCTTTACAACTCACCCCAAGACGGTGGGGTTGGTGCGATCGCCCCATCTACCCAAAGCCCTCGCTATCCAACGTGCACTACGCAGATTTGGACCCACCCCGTCCGAGGAAGTCACAAGGACCCTGACCCCGTTCCCCTTCGGGCTACATGGTCTGCTCTCCCATAAAGCCATCCTTGAACGTGACTATCTTACCTCCTTCATCCCCCCTCGGGCAGTGGATGAACTTAAAACCCTCCTCGCTCTTCCCCTGGTTATCCATGGCCCACCCCTACGCATGCAATGCATCCTCACCGAACCTCTCGCCTTCAACCGGTTGCTCCTCAAACCCGACGAGCGACCTTTCGGCACCCGCCAACACGAGCGATTCCTGCTTACAGGACAGCTCCGCATCGGACACATTGTCCGAATCACCACCTTCAACGTCAGCCCTATCTCTGCTTAGGAGTTCTGCTCCCAACTCCCGGAGGAATTTCACGATGACGCCACACGCCTCCTCCCAGATCTCATCAACGCTATCAAGCCTCCCTGGTGGGCCGGCCTCCGATCCCCTCACTCCTCCTCTGCCTCCCTTGGAGATTGGTTCATGCCCTCGGATGACCACTACTCCATATCTCACCTCGCTATCCAGGTCGTCGCTTTCATCCCCCCCTCTACCGTCTCGGCTACTGTCCACCCCGTCTCGCCCAACCATCGCATCGGCCGTACCCCAATCAAAACCGGACTCTTCCGTTTACAAGACCTCATTGAGGTGTATGTCAGGGAATGGTGGCTCGCAGGGCCACTTCACACAGGGACAGGGTTAGGAGCTAGGGTAGAACTTCTACAGGACGGCACCCCCAGCCTCGCCGACATCCGCCGTCTCCTCTACTCCACACAGCCGCTTACTCACCACAGTCGATGGACCCGAGACCTCACCCTTCCTCCTCCCCCTCTCCCTGGCCTTAAGGACCCCTTTCTCAAAGACCAGCCGAGCCGCCAACGGGATATCCTCTTCAGACTCTACACACTAACTCTCCCCTCTGGATCACGCTTCCAATATTTTGACGACCGAGGGGTTTGCCCCCGGTGTCCTGCTGCTGTTATAGAGACACTGCCGCATATCTTCTTCGAATGCGCCTCCGCCGGAAATGTCATCTCTGCTCTGCGCACAGTCGCTGACCGTCACCTCGGACAAACCGCCCCCGCCGAACACATCTTCTTCCCGCCACAGTCACGGGTTGGACAGTCCCCCCCATGAAGCCTAATAGTAGGAGCAGCAGCCAAGACGCTGTGGAACAGTCGCTGTGACCACAGGTACCGCAACTCCTCCTCCTCGAGCTTCGAGATACTGCAGCTCATCTTAGCCCAGTTCCTCATCGCCTTCAAAATTTACATGTGGAGAGGCAAACGCCAATCGGCCAAGAAACGTCAACGTATATCATCCAGCATCAAGCGAGCACAGAAACTCCGCTTTCTCCTCTTCGACAGGACCGGCACACCCTCTATCCACCCCGACCTAAGGTTCTCCTGACTCTTGGGAAACCCGTTCCGACCACCATAGTCATCCATCGCATAGAGCGTCTCCCCAGGCAGCTGGCGGTTGTCCGCGAGGACAAGGAATAACGTGTGTTCTACGTGCTCCACTGCGAATGCTGGCCACCTCGGCCATGTTTCTATACTGCTCTATGGATTACTCTTTGTACTTCACGATCAATATATAACCTTAACCTTAACCTCTCACGCTTCTTCCCCTCCTCCACTCAACCACCTCCCTCCTCTCAACTCCAAATTACTTCTTTCTCTCGTACGTGCATAATTCCTTCCTAGAAGTCGCAGCCTGCAAATGTCGGTGCCAGTTTGAAAATTAGTTTCTCCGCGTCTCAATCTCAAACGAGTCTCGGAGAAGGGTTTGCAGAGGGAGGGGACGGAGAGCTCCCCTACTTGCCGCCTTCTTGCAATGCGCAAAAGCTCGCGGCGGTTCAGCGATATTAACAATCGCGTATTCGTCGTAGCCTGGACGCGTTGAACTACTCTGCCTGACGATAGCTCTCGGAATTGCGGTAAGAAAGAATAAGGGGAGCTTGGTACTTTGAGATGTACTACACTCGTGCTTAAGAAGGTTCAATCTTCTACTAGTTTGCTCAGTAAACGACGCAATGTTTAAAAAAAAAATCGTGTTTTTCCTTATTTGAGCTCCCCATTCCCCTACGTGTATCTGCAGAGACACGCGGAGCTCCCGCGGGAATCTGCGAGTGGCTCCCGCAATCTGCGAGCTCGTGGCTCGCTCGAGCAGTAGAGCATGTGAGGGAGCAGCGCGGGGGCCTCCGCGAGGAGCGGCGGGAAAAGCTCCGCCCAAATAGGCCGATGCAGCGCTGTGGCGATGCACGGCGCTGCTAACTCTGCTGGCGGCGAGCGCGACGCCCGCAGGCTCTGCGGGTGGCTAGCGAGGCGCTGCGTCGCACGGTTCTTGGCACGTGAGCATGGCCTCTCCTCTCGCAGTTATTTATTTTTTCATTCTAGTAGCGACTTTCGCTATCCATTTCTTATTAGCATGTGTGTCGAGTTTGTTTTTACTGCCCTCGTTTCACGTACCCATTTTCTCAGTCCATGCCCGTTTCCGCGCTACAGGCGGAAGAACGGAGCTCCTCCGCGCCGCAGGCGGAAGAACGGAGCTCCTCCGCGCCGCAAGCGGAAGAACGGAGCTCCTCCGCGCCGCAGACGGAAGAACGGAGCTCCTCCGTGCCGCAGGCGGAAGAACGGAGCTCCTCCGCACCGCAGGCGGAAGAACGGAGCTCCTCCGCGCCGCAGGCGGAAGAAAGGAGCTCCTCCGCACCGCAGGCGGAAGAACGGAGCTCCTCCGCGCCGCAGGCGGAAGAACGGAGCTCCTCCGCGCCGCAGGCGGAAGATCGGAGCTCTTCCGCGCCGCAGGCGGAAGATCGGAGCTCTTCCGCGCTGCAGGCGGAAGAACGAAGCTCTTCCGCGCTCCAGGCGGAAGACCGGAGGCTTCCGCTGCTGAGTCATTCCCGCTTTCGAATTGAACTTCTCGTTCCTCCCCCTTGTTCTGCCCCGCTCGTTCCATGGCCCCTACCCCCCTCCAGCCGTTGCAGGCGGAAGGTCGGAGCGCTTCCACGGTGCAGGCGGAAGGTCGGAGCGCTTCCGCGGTGCAGGCGGAAGGTCGGAGCGCTTCCGCGGTGCAGGCGGAAGGTCGGAGCGCTTCCGCGGTGCAGGCGGAAGGTCGGAGCGCTTCCGCGGTGCAGGCGGAAGGTCGGAGCGCTTCCGCGGTGCAGGCGGAAGGTCGGAGCGCTTCCGCGGTGCAGGCGGAAGGTCGGAGCGCTTCCGCGGTGCAGGCGGAAGGTCGGAGCGCTTCCGCGGTGCAGGCGGAAGGTCGGAGCGCTTCCGCGGTGCAGGCGGAAGGTCGGAGCGCTTCCGCGCTGCAGGCGGAAGGTCGGAGCGCTTCCGCGCTGCAGGCGGAAGGTCGGAGCGCTTCCGCGCTGCAGGCGGAAGGTCGGAGCGCTTCCGCGCTGCAGGCGGAAGGTCGGAGCGCTTCCGCGGTGCAGGCGGAAGGTCGGAGCGCTTCCGCGGTGCAGGCGGAAGGTCGGAGCGCTTCCGCGCTGCAGGCGGAAGGTCGGAGCGCTTCCGCGCTGCAGGCGGAAGGTCGGAGCGCTTCCGCGCTGCAGGCGGAAGGTCGGAGCGCTTCCGCGCTGCAGGCGGAAGGTCGGAGCGCTTCCGCGCTGCAGGCGGAAGGTCGGAGCGCTTCCGCGGTGCAGGCGGAAGGTCGGAGCGCTTCCGCGGTGCAGGCGGAAGGTCGGAGCGCTTCCGTGCTGCAGGCGGCAGGTCGGAGCGCTTCCGCGCTGCAGGCGGAAGGTCGGAGCGCTTCCGCGCTGCAGGCGGAAGGTCGGAGCGCTTCCGCGCTGCAGGCGGAAGGTCGGAGCGCTTCCGCGGTGCAGGCGGAAGGTCGGAGCGCTTCCGCGCTGCAGGCGGAAGGTCGGAGCGCTTCCGCGCTGCAGGCGGAAGGTCGGAGCGCTTTCGCGCTTCATGAGCGTGAGCCCCTTTCCAAACATCTCGTGAATTTCTGTTTACCCCCTTCCCCCCGCCACTGAGTTTTTGTCCCCTCGCGCCATCCCCCTCCCTTCCCCTTCCCCTCTTCCGCAACTACTCCTTTTCCACCCTGATCCGCGCCCCTCCCCGCCATTTCCGCATTTCCCTCATCCCCTCTCTCTCCTCTATGCCCTCTCCCCTCTCTCTCCCGGCTCTTCATCTCTTTCCCCTACCCTCCGCTTCCCTCCCCCCTTCCCACCCCGATCACTCTCGCTCCCCTCTCCGTTTCCAGCCCTCGCTTTCGTTTCCTCTCCTTCGCGCACCTTGTGGTAACTCTGTAACGCATTGATCTCGCCCATTCTTTTTCCGTTCCCGTTCTCCTTGTGCATCATGTTCCCCTTTCCGCTTTTCCCCCTGCCGCCTCCCCTTGCTCCCCCGTAGCGTAGCGTAACCCCTATTCCCGTTTCCTCTCTCCCTGTTTCTCCTCTCCCTGTTTTCTCCTATGGACGCCATGACGATATTCCCTTGCAATGTGTGGAATGATACAAGTTATTGATATGATGACAATAGGCTCGGCACAGGCACGTGTGAGGCTCGGCACAGCCAGGCGAGGGTTGGCACAGCCAGGCGTGGTGAGAGGCTCGGCACAGCCAGGCGTGGTGAGAGGCTCGGCACAGCCAGGCGTGGTGAGAGGCTCGGCGCAGCCAGGTGAGAGGCTCGGCACAGTCAGGTGAGAGGCTCGGCACAGTCAGGTGAGAGGCTCGGCACAGTCAGGTGAGAGGCTCGGCACAGCTGGGTGAGAGGCTCGGCACAGCTGGGTGAGAGGCTCAGCACAGCCAGGTGAGGGTCGGCTCGCTGCTGCTTGAACTCTCCCATTCACCTCTCTGGTGCCAGCCTCGAAGATGCGATGATAAAGATAGAATAATAGGAGTCATTAGGAGTTTTTGATATGTATGCTTGTATGTAACATCACACATGAGCTAGTCTGGCCAGGTCCGTCCTGGCCAGGCTCGGGGAGATAGGGTCGGTTCGGCCTAGGTCCGGGAGGGGGGGGAGGGGGAGGAGGTCTGATTGGGCCAAATACAGATACAGATACAGTGACAGTGACCGAAACAGGGACAAATACAGACACAGGGACAAAAACGGAAGGCAAACAGGGACAGAAGCGAGGTCAGGGACAGAGCGTAAATGGAAGACAAACAGGGAGAGAAGCAGCAGGGACAGGGAGAGGGACACACCAACAGCCGACAGAAACAGGAATGGAAGACAATGAGAGAGAAGCAGGGACAGGGAGACGGATGGAAAGAGGCCAGATGTGAGGCCTACATGGCCTTTTGGCAGGTGGTGCCTGTGTGTGACTCGGCCAGGCCAGCCAAGCGATTTGAGGGGGCTGTGTGGGGGGGGGGGGGAGGGCTGTGTTGGGGGGGGGTGTGTATGGGGGGCTGTGTGGGGGGGCTGTGAGGGGGGCTGTGAGGGGCGTTGGGGGGTAGGGGGCCCTTCGGGGGGGTCATGGAGGGGTTTTCACTCGCTTCTCGTTATTATCACTCTTGTTGTCCACTTTCTGCATCCTAGTACCATGGTCCTCTGTTATTATCTATTGTTTTTAAACCTTCAAGGTTGAGATGTTGTATTGTCTTGGGGGAAGAAGCAATGAGCTGGTGTGGTGATAGGGCACAGACACCAAGCAGGTTGGAATCAGCAGCCCCTCCCTTCCCTCCTGCTTGATGTTTCTCCACATGATATATGATTCTATTTACGGTAAACAAAGCAACAAGCCAGTCCACAACCTATTTACAGTACAATCATACCCATTGTTAAGATTCCTAAACATGTCAATCTTGCGACGGTATCTCTTGGTGATCAACATGCCGCATGTATCTCCGCGCTTCACACTGTACAATCGCTTGGTTGAACATGTATTGCCAGATAACGGCCGGCCGTCAACACTAGCCACACAAATCTGTGAGTCAACCATCAGTGAGGAACAGGATGGAAGGGGAAGAAAAATAAACTGCATTGAATAACCTTCACACACAGAGGCAGAGACAGAGACAGAGGCAAGACATCGACAGCGGCACCAGACACAGGCACAGGCACAGGCACAAGCACAGGTACTATTTGCAGCGTATAGCGTATAACCTCCTTCCACTCCACCCCACACACAGACCTTCCCGACTCACCCTTCTCATCATATTGCCCTGCAGGGGGCTGTAGGGCAGCAGCGAGTCGCACAAGAGGTCAAGATTCAACTGGAAGAAGCGCATCGGACTTCTTGCTCCTCCCTCAGCCCACAACTCACACCCGCAACCGCTCGACTCTCACCCTCCCAGCCCAACTCACCCTTCTCATCATGTTGCCCTGCAGGGGGCTGTGCGGCAGCAGCGAGTCGCACGAGAGGCCGGGGTTCATCTGGAAGAAGCGCGTGGGGGAGGCGATGGCAAACGCCCGCCACAGCTGCTGGCAGGTCTGCGGGCCCTGGAGGACCGTCACGAGCACACCTACGCTCGTGTAGTTGGCTAGAGGCGGAGGAGGAGGGGGTGGTTGAGGGCTGGGTGAGGTTGTGGGCGGGGTTTGTGTCACGGCTGGGGTGATTTGGGCCTGGAGCTTGCATGATATGCGGGTCATTCCCTCTTCTAGCCACGTCTGGTTGAGGGATACACAGAGGAGCTGGGAAGGAGGGAGGGAGGAGAATGGGGGAGAGGGGGGAGAAGGGGGAGAAGAGGGGGAGTGGGGAGAGGAATGTGTGAAATGATGTGAGATCGGGTTCTGAGACTTTGGAGAACAAACTACCCTAACAACCTGTCATTGCAGCAGCTTCTGTTACCAGCGCACCTGCATTCTTGTCAGCCATCTACACTCACCTTCACCCACCTACACCCACCTCGACCCACCTACGCTCACCAACACCCACCTACACCCCCCGAGACCCACCAACACATACCTGCAACCACAAGCACTCACCTGCACCTGCATCCACACTCACGTGCCCTCACCTAACTCACTTGCACCCATCTGCACCGATGCTCACCTGGCCGGGTCTGGGCCCATCAGAGCAGGTGAGGGCGGGGTTGAGCGGCTGTATCTGCGTGGAGAAGAGGGCGTTGAGTGAGTCACACGTGTCACCCTGCACACGCATGTCAGGTATAGGAGGAGTGGAAGAGGAAGCGTGGTTACTGGAAGGATTGAGTTGAGTGGCTGTAACTGCGTGGAGAAGAGGGCGTTGCGTGAGTCACACGTGTCACCCTGCACACGCATGTCAGGTATAGGAGGAGTGGAAGAGGAAGCGTGGTTACTGGAAGGATTGAGTTGAGTGGCTGTATCTGCGTGGAGAAGAGGGCGTTGAGTGAGTCACACGTGTCGCCCTGCACACACATGTCAGGTATAGGAGGAGTGGAAGAGGAAGCGTGGTTACTGGAAGGATTGAGTTGAGTGGCTGTATCTGCGTGGAGAAGAGGGCGTTGCGTGAGTCACGTGTCACCCTGCCGGCACACAGGGAAATAGGCGAGTGAGTGTCTGGGAAAGAGACGAGGGGGTTTGAAGGGAGAAGGCACGTGGAGGGAGAAGGCACGTGGAGGGAAGGGGCAGATGGAGGAAGTGGGAAATGCAAACACAGGTGGCGATTCAGAGTGAGCAGTGAAGCGGGGTTAAGTTTTGAGATTAGGCTCAAAGGCGCTTACATAAACACACTGGGGTTTACACAAACGCACTGGCACTTGGATAAGCGCACTGGAACTTGGAATAAGGCACTGGAAACTACTTCAACACACCGGCACTTACATAATTAGCAGTGTACATGGCAGTGCATTGGGAGAAAGCCCGGCTGGTGACGTTAACAAGAGTGCCTACAGGGATGGGCGCTCGGCACTGGAACCCCTGCAGTCAGAACAAGGAGACATAGAGGAGAGGATTGGTCAGAACATGGGTATCTGACAGAAAAGAAACACTAAACAGGCAAGACGGGAAGGGGGGTATGGGTTTGGACGCTCTGCTGTTACAAGGAGAGATTCGAACGAGGCAGGCCGAATGGGTGGTGGGAAGAATGAGCGGAAAGTGAGGAGCAGTGAGAGAAAGTGAGGGGGGGTGGGTGGAAGCGAGGGGAATTGAGTTGAAGTGAGGGGCAGAGAGGGGAAGTGAGAGAAACTGAAGGGCAATGTGTGGCGATGAGGGGAAGTGTGGCTGTGCCGTGACCAGAAAGGGGAAATATTGAGCTTTCAGACGGACCTTGTTTTGGCTCCAGAATTCCGCTTGGGAGAGCCCATAGGTGTTGAGTTGAGGATGAGAGAGCATGTGATGTGATGTGATGCGATGCCACACAATGTGCTGCGAGATGATTGTGCTGTGAGATGAATGTGCTGAGCTGAACTAAACACAGCCCCTTTAACCAAAGCCCACCAAAGCCCTCCTGAGCTTGTTTTGGTTGAAGAAGTCTGCTTGGGTGAGCCCATAATTGTTGAGGATGAGCGGGCATGGGACATGGAATGTCCTGACCCCAATCAATCTACAGCTTGAACCTTCCTTCAGTCCAATGTCAGACCTTGTTTTGGCTGAAGAAGTCTGCTTGGGTGAGCCCGTAGGTGTTGAGGATGAGCGCGCATGTGAGGCCGTAGGGCGACAGGAAGGTGGGCATTCGAGTCTCAGCCAATCGCACTGCATGCACGGGGGGTAGGCATGCACGGGGTAGGCATGCATGGGGTAGGCATGCATGGGGTAGGCATGCATGGGGTAATATAAGTCCACGTGATGAGCCCATAAGAAGTAAACACAGGAGACACGAGGTCCATGTGATGTGATGAGAGCCATGACGATAAGAGCTATCGGATGGGCCATGTGATAGAAGTAGCGTTTTGAAATGTCTCAAAATACGAGGTGCATGTGATGAGAGCCATGACGATACGAGCTATCGGATGGGCCATGTGATAGAAGTAGCGTTTTGAAATGTCTCAAAATACGAGGTGCATGTGATGAGAGCCATGACGATAAGAGCCATCGGATGGGCTGAGATAGAACAGGCACACATGTGAGAGAGGGGCATGTGAGAGAGGGGCATGTGAGAGTTGGGCGTATGACAGTGGGGCGTGTGAGAGCGGTGACGTGTGAGAGCGGTGACGTGTGAGAGCGGTGACGTGTGAGGGGTGTGTGTGAGAAGAGGGGGTAGGCGAGGGGTCAGAGGCATGAGCTGAAAATCAAACCTTGTTTAAGACCATCTGACCATGTGGTACGCACAATGGTAACAGCGGGCAGCGCCTTTGGGGTAAAAGTAGAAGGGGAAGTAGGGCGAGGGGCAGAGGCAGGAGTAGGTGCCATCTATGTCATCAATGCACACCCCCGGGGCACACGGGTTGCGGGGGAACTGGCGACATGTGAAGGAATCTGGTTTAGGGAGGGCGAGGGAAGGGGAAAGACAATCGGGGAAGCAGAGTGGGAAGAGAGCAAGAGTGAGTGAGCAGCAGACTAGGACACCATTGATGCACATCCCAAAGGGCACATGGGATAAAGGTAGAGTTTTGAGACGTCTCACAACTCTACTTATATCAAGTGCGTGAGCAGCAGACTAGGATACCATTGATGCACATCCCATGTGCCCCTGGGATGTGCATGACCAATTGGGCTTGCCTCACTACCAAATGCTCACCCACCACACTCTGCCTCTCACCCACCATGCTCCACCTCTAACCTACCGCACTCCACCTCTCACCTACTGCACTCCACCTCTCACCTACTGCACTCCACTTCTCACCTACTGCACTCCACCTCTCACCTACCACACTCCACCTCTCACCCACCTACCGCTCTCCGCCTCTTGCCTACCTCAGTCCACGGCTCACCAGGGAAGCAGGAGGGCAGGCCGGCAAGGTGGGAGGGTTGGAAGGAGGGGAGCTTCAAGGGGCACTTGCAGGAGGGCACGAGGATAGACGGGTCCCACGGGGCACGTGCCTTGGTGCATGCACCCGTGCCACAGGGCTGCACGGGAGAGGCCTTGCAGGGGTCGGTGTCTGTTGGGGGAGCGGGGGGAAGGGGGAAGGGAGGGGGGAGGAGGATGGGAAGGGGGAGTGTGCGGAGGTATGAGGCAGGAGGAGAGAGAGGTCCAGGTATGAGACAGCAAATGCCTTGAAGCATGCAACCATGGAACAGAGGAGCACTGGAGAGGCGTTGCAGGGGATACGCGGGGGTTCGTGGGGTTACAATAACGAAAATCCTCCCTCCCCTCTTCCTACCTCTTCAGAGCAGGCACGTGGCTTGCTACCCCTCCCCCTCCTTCCCTCCCCCCCAGCTCCCCCCCTTCCCCCTCCCTGCCCGTGAATCGGAAGGCCCAGGAGGAGAGGGTGACAGGGGCAGGGCATGTGGCTTGCTACCCCTAAGCCCTTAACGATAAACTCGAAACCCTAAATCCTGGCTTGCTACCCCTCCCCTCTTTCCCTCCCCCCATCTCGACCCATTCCCCTCCCCCCTACCTGTGAATCGGAAGGTCCAGGAGGAGAGGGCGACGGGGGAAGGCAGGCGGCCAGCTGCCCGAACGATGGCGACCATAGGTCCGTTGCACTGCTGCTGTCACTGCTGCTGCTGCTGCCACTTGTGGTGCTGGTGCTGTTACTGCTGTTGCTGCTGCTGCCGCTACCACTGCCGCCGCTGCTGCTTGTGCTTGTGTCAGGGCCCCCAGTGAGAGCAGCACAGAGGTCAATAGAGACTTTCATGCTGCCTACCAGAACAGGGGGTTGGTACCATCGGATCAGCATCTCCTTGCTTCTCCCGTTATAGTCAACCCTCATCTGCAACACCTCCTCTGCCTCCACCACATTTGACACCTCCTCCTCGAAAATCGAAGTCATGTTGAAATCGGTGTTAACGCCTATGTGATAAGCATTTGGATCGTCAGTTTCCGGGTTTGTTACAGCCTGTGGGTGCCATAGCACAGCTACACTCCGCGCGCCGTCCGGCCAGCTGCCGTTAGTGAGTCGCGAGGATGGGTCCCGGCCGTACCCCATATAAGCCCCGCCTAGGCCCACGCTCGCATGTGTGCTTATAACGAATGCGAGTCCATGGGAAGCGGATACATTTATGGAAAAGCCGTATGTGAAGGTGAAAGAGCGAGCCATGCAGATGGGGGGTTCGGTTGCTGTGGGTTGGGGAGGGGAGGAGGAAGGAGAGGAATGGGGGGAGCTGCGGGGACGACGAGGAGGAGGAGGAGGAGGAGGAGGGAAGGGAGGGGAGGAGGAGTAGAGGAGGGGGAGACGGCGAGGGAAGTAGATGGCTCCAGGGGCGGGATCGTCTGATTGGCCACTGGATGATGCCACGTCAGCAGCGACCGAGAGATCAGCGGCAAAGAATCGCTTCCTGGTGCTGCCACGTGTCAGCAGGGGAGTGGCTGGCGTGATGTAGGGGAAGGAGAACGAGTCTGCCGCCCAAAACGGAAGCTGATCCTCCGCTGCTGGGGTTGGCATGGTATGGGGGCGGGGGCAGTGGGGGGAGGGTTAGGCATGAGTAAATGTTCAACCTTAGGCTAGGATGTGGACCGTGGGACACTGGAACTATGGCAGGTAGGTTCCATGGAGGTTCGCTCCTCCTTTTCACCACCCACCAAAACGGCAGCGAATTCGTTGCAGAAGGGGGTTGGCATTGTATGCTCCAGCATTCCACCCCCACTGATTCCTTCTCACCACCACCACCGCCCTTCCCCCTGCTCCTCTTGCCCTCCCCCTCTCCTCCCGACGACCATCCTGCTCCAGACAACCGCCTTGCTCCCATACCACTCCCCTTCTTCCCTCCCTTTCTCCCCCTTGCCGCCCCGCGTGTACCAGCACCACGGACGGTAGCAACACTCACAACAGTGCCCTCAAAAACCTCCCGGCTTTCTGCTCCTCCCACAGTCAGCACAGGTACATCCCCCGCTCCAACACCCGAGCCCTTTCCCAGTGCATCCTCCCCAATACATCCCCCCTCTCCCTCCCCATCCCCGTCCCCATCCTCCCTAATTTCGTGGCATTTCCCCTTCCCACTGCCAATCCCTGCTCCTCCTGTCTCCCTAGCAGCAAGCATCGCTGCTTTTCTCCCCTTGGGGCCCCACTCTCTACGAACATTCACCCTGCCACCACCACCAGCAGCAGCAGCAGCAGCAGCAGCAGCAGCAGCAGCAGCAGCAGCAGCGGCAGCAGCGGCAGCAGCAGCAGCAGCAGCAGTAGCAGCAGCAGCAGCAGCAGCAGCAGCAGCAACTCCAGCTGCTCCTCCTCTCCCTTTCCTCCCTGCAGCCGCCCCCCTCCCCACGCCTGCAGCAGCAGCCGCGCTTGCTGCTGCGATCTCCAGCTGTCGTATCCTCTCCCCCACCGTCCCTCTCACCCTGCCTTGCCCCATGCCCGCACCTCCTCCTCTCCCTCACCCTCCCGCCCTCCCACCCTCTCTCTTCCGCCTCGTTCTGCCTGGGGTCATCACAACCCCCGAGGTAAGGCCAGTATTTCCGCTCCCTATAACGAGGACAACGGTTTCCCCTGCGCCCATCTCCTCTTCTCCTTCTGTGCTTTCGAAGGTCACCCCCAGCCGTCTCTCCCCTCCACCATCTCCCTCCCCATCTGTATCCATCTCAACCGCATCAGAAAGAAGCGTGGCCGCTCCAAACGCCTGCCTTCCCTTCCCCGTTGCTCGTTTCGCTCTGCTTCTGCTGTTTCCCTCGCCATTGCCATTTCTCCTGCTCCCCCCGCTGCTGTCCAACCCGTTATTGTCACACCCTGATGCAAAACCCTCCCTGCTCGGCTCACCACCCATTAAAACGCCACAAGCACCGCATTCAACTCCTTCGTCTTCCCCGCTGCTTGAGCCCCAGCCCCCCTGCAACTCGCGCCTTCATTTCCCAAACACAGCAGCAGCGGTAGAAAACAGCAGTAGCAAACAGTAGAAAACAGCATCAGCAGCGGCAACCAGCATGGTTAGCAGCAGCAGCAAGAAGGAACAGCAACAACTGCAGCAGCAACATAATCAGCGGCAGCAAAACACCAGCAGCGGGGGACGCAGCAGCAGGAAGCAAACGTTAGCAGCACCAGAAGGGCAAAGAAAAGCAGTCAAAGGGCTCTACAAGAAGGGATCGAAGGGATTGAAACAGCTCCAGGGAGGGGTGATGTTGCACTCGCCTGCGCAATGATTGTCAGCGCCTTGTCAGCAGCGCCCCCCCTCTGCTTGAGCCCCAACTCGTTCTCCTCGTCGTCTGCGGAAACAGTGAAGGGGCAGGGGGGAAGGAAGTGAGGGGAGGGGAGGGGGCGCGTGGGTGGGTGAGTGAGCAAGTGATAGGAGGAAGGAGGCGGGCAAGGGAGGTAGCAGAAAACCCAGATATCGGTACCAGCACCATATGGAATCCGCAGCTTCACACGGTGACATGCAAAAACGCTGCAGGGGACATGCTTGGCTCTGTTGAGGCGAACATAAGAAACTTCTAACAGACTCTAAGAAGGAATTTGTCAAGCGTTTAACCCACCTGCATCCACGCATGCAGAATCGCAGCCATTCGCGAATGTCGTCTAGCAGCCCCGGAAAAAGCGCATGCATGTGTGTCACGCCATTGCCAGTGGCGCATCGACAGTGTTCCCAACACAGTGTGTTCTCATCACGTCATGGGCACCGCATCATCGACTGCCGCTACTACACCGCCGCGGGAAAGGCGCCGGCTCTTTTTTTGCAAGACGGCAGATGCGGCGACTGTTTTCACGTGACACATGCTGCCTGTCCGCAAATCGCGAACCGGCAAATTAGTACGAGTAGTAGTACTACTAATCGACGAGGCGCGCGAAGCGGCTTGCTGTGCTTGACCGCTGCCTCTGCTCCAGGAACCGGCGGCGTCGACGAGACTAGCACGCCGCCTGCAGCAGCCACACTGTGGCAGGAGCAAAGCGGCGTGGTCAACATGATAAACGTCGCTTGAAGCGATGACGTAAATAATCAGAAGTGATTCCATATCGAGACAGGAAGAAAACACAAGTACATAAGCGTGCATATCAGTCTAGGGGCTGGCGTACGTTAGAACAGCTAATACTACTACGACTACGACTAACGGTGCTAGTACCAACGACGGGCTGCATAGTACTAGGGTGGGTGGCGGCGCGATGAAGGTGATGTGAGAGGGAGTAGGTGATTTGGCGAAAGGGAGGAAATGCTGAAGCTCATGGGGCCCGTTGCCTTCTTACACCCATCTAGAAACCCTAATTTTCAAATCGCGGTTGAGAACGGTGGAAAAGCTGTCATCGTGCACTGAATTGAAGAGCACGACAAATGCTGGAAACGGACACGTGGCCCCCGCCCTTGGGTTTGTTCTCAACTGCCGGAGTCAACCTTCGAGCTCGCGCAAACAGTTGCTAACGTCAGATACAGAAACAAGCAGGGTGAGCGGGATCGGCGGGGGACACACACTACAGTGCGTTTCGGTACGGTTTAATAAAGGTTATAAGAGGTGAGGTGAGATGAGCTGAGGTGAGGTGGTGATATGGATTGCCCACCTGTCGTTACCGCGCAGAGCAGAAAGCGCCGCCAGATCAGCCCAAGCACTTCAAATTTTAAATACAGAGGACGAACAAAAAGTCGTGCTTTAGGTCAACGAAATAATAGATGGTTGTGGTGGGAGAGAAAACGCGCTGGATTTTAGCAAACTATCAAACGAACAATACAAACGACGTACAAAGACTGGGTGTGTAAAATAGAACAGATGTACAGTGCGAACCGGGAAGAAAATGGAGTAGCAGGTGCAAAACAAAACCAAAAAGAACAACTAACCAATACTGTACAAAAAGACCAAGTTGGAATCCCCGAACCGAATCCCGATCAGAACCTGAATTCTAGGGCACACAACTGTACAGCATTGGCTTGCTGCTTTGTTTTGAAAGCCGACAGGTTGAGAACGGTGCTATCGTTAAAATCCGTTTCAGCCAAGCGCTCTGAATTGAATTGCGCGTCAGAAGGGACACGTGGACTGCACCTGTGGTTCTGTTCAACTGTCGTCTGTGAAGCTCGCGAACCATCCTGTCTGCGCAGAAGCCAGCTCTAACCAAATGTAAAACTCGTGCGCCAGCTCTCTTAAAAGGCAGGGAGTGTGGCGAAATGAAATAAACATGGGGGTGGCGAAAAAACGGCCTACGTGATAGCAAAACACCATACGGGCTTTACAGAGCAGCAAAAATCGGGTGCGAGAACAATAACAGATGAGAGTCGCAAGGCCGAACAAAAACATACAGGGCAGCCAGAACAAACAACTAGTATCCCCGAAGTGCGAACAGACCCTGCAGTACAGTTGAGCGAGGTGAGGTGAGAAGGTACTGCAATGGTGAATCTGCCTGTCTGTCGTATGCACGCCGACACGAACTGAGTGCAACACAAAAAACAAAACCAAAGAAACAACACGAGAGGTGAACAATAACACGTGCCGCAGTTTCTGTCACAACGAAGGGGGGGTCTCCGAAAAAACGGGCTAGGTCTTAGCCAAACACCAACTGTCGCATTCAACTTTTAAGCAATTGCAAGCTTCAAGCTCGCAACGCCTCGCCAACAGTTTCGAACCGTAAAAGATGACAAACCAAAACAAAGGCCCTTGCGTTGCCCGACGTGAGGTGAACTTCAGGAGAAAAAAGTCGCCACGTGCGATTCCGTCCTACTTTGCACCTGTCGTGAGCGAGCTGATTCGCTCGCTAAGAGTGCAAACGGCGCGCAAAGCTTCGCTTTACTCACGGACCAATCCACCACCCCGATTTCAAGCTTCGTATTAGTGTCCTAGCCTCGGCGTAGCCAATTGATTGGCTGCAAACGTGAACAAAATGCAGCACTAACAGTGTTACGTGAACAATTTGCAGCCCAATCGTGTTTCGGTTTCCAGGCCCACAATGCCATGCAGTATACGTACAACAATATATATCATCATATACATACATAGCACAGAAACTTTAACCAGGTGCTAACAGATAGTTCATCACCTTATGCATAGGCACCCTCAAACTTAGCACTTCTTCGGCATGATTGACTACTTGTTATACTGACATTTACCAATAAATGTTTTCAAACCGGTCCCCCTCTCCGTGTAGAATACATTAAAAAACGGGTTTTGTAGTGCGCCTTTGAATGTCGCGTATGATCGATATCAAAATGCACATTTGCTGGTGGTGTGCATAGGTGTGTGGGTATTGATGAATGTGTCTCTATGTAGCAAATGTCCGTGTCAATCTCGGTGCTCGGATAGATTGTACCTACGCTACGGCAATGCACTGTTTGATCTTTTCTCGCATGGATAGTATGGAAATATTGGCAGGATGACTAACTAAGAGCCGGTCCCATTGCTCCGGCTCTTTTCATGCATGTCACAACACGTACCTGGGGTGGTTACGGTATGAGCTTGCTTATGGTATTTCCAGGTTTATGCTGGTGTGAAAGCAACGGACATGGCATCCTGTTTTGATTAACGGCAGAACTCTGTCATGGCACCATTGCATTTTGTTTCGACAAATGCATACAGTAAACCACAACACAAAGGCATTATGTTCCAAAAGGGGCAAAACTCTGTCACATACATACAGCACTAAGCTTGGGGAATGCCACCTGTAGCTACTGCTGAACACCAGCCCCCATCCCATCATCTCACCCTCTCACCACCCGCCCCATCCCATCATCTTACCCTCTCACAACCAGCCCCATCCCATCAGCTCACCCTCTCACCACCCGCCCCATCCCATCATCTTACCCTCTCAGCACCTGCTGCTGCTGCTTGTACAGTCTACTGCTGCTGCTTGTACAGTCTGCTGCTGCTGCTTGTACAGTCTACTGCTGCTGCTTGTACAGTCTACTGCTGCTGCTTGTACAGTCTACTGCTGCTGCTTGTACAGTCTGCTGCTGCTGCTTGTACAGTCTGCTGCTGCTGCTTGTACAGTCTACTGCTGCTGCTTGTACAGTCTACTGCTGCTGCTTGTACAGTCTACTGCTGCTGCTTGTACAGTCTACTGCTGCTGCTTGTACAGTCTACTGCTGCTGCTTGTACAGTCTACTGCTGCTGCTTGTACAGTCTGCTGCTGCTGCTTGTACAGTCTGCTGCTGCTGCTTGTACAGTCTGCTGCTGCTGCTTGTACAGTCTGCTGCTGCTGCTTGTACAGTCTACTGCTGCTGCTTGTACAGTCTACTGCTGCTGCTTGTACAGTCTACTGCTGCTGCTTGTTCAGTCTACTGCTGCTGCTTGTACAGTCTACTGCTGCTGCTTGTACAGTCTACTGCTGCTGCTTGTACAGTCTACTGCTGCTGCTTGTACAGTCTACTGCTGCTGCTTGTACAGTCTGCTGCTGCTGCTTGTACAGTCTGCTGCTGCTGCTTGTACAGTCTGCTGCTGCTGCTTGTACAGTCTGCTGCTGCTGCTTGTACAGTCTGCTGCTGCTGCTTGTACAGTCTGCTGCTGCTGCTTGTACAGTCTGCTGCTGCTGCTTGTACAGTCTGCTGCTGCTGCTTGTACAGTCTGCTGCTACTGCTTGTACAGTCTACTGCTGCTGCTTGTACAGTCTGCTGCTGCTGCTTGTACAGTCTGCTGCTGCTGCTTGTACAGTCTGCTGCTGCTGCTTGTACAGTCTACTGCTGCTGATTGTACAGTCTGCTGCTCCTGCTGTGTCTCCTATTGCGTGTTGCTGCTGCTCCTGGGCAGGGCGGACGGCAACACGTTAGCAGGACAGGGGGAGCACATATGTTTAGTGCATATGAGAGCAGAGCCATTGAGAGAAAGGGGATAGGAGCACGATGAAAGTGCAGACCACTCTCGGCGAGTCGCCGCCTCACCTGCCTCGCAGCTCCTCCCCCGCGTCGAACACACGGCGTGGAACAGCCTCGCTGCTTCTAACGCGTTGCTCCTCGAGCGGAATTGCCGCCGCCGCCGGAATTTCCGGAATTGCTTCTAACGCGTTGCTCCTCGATCCAGCATTAGATGCTAAAGTATGCCGTAAACAGCTTGTTGTACCGTAGTCGTTCGTGTGGACGTTCATGGCCCGCTGCCGTCTTATAACTCACACGATGTTCAGTCGACCGAGCGGTCATATAGGAGGAAAGAAATATCAGTGTCAAGTTCACATTTGCACGGTTTTAGTGCTAGTTGTTGAACTCAGCATGGATTACCGTAGTCGGGTAAGGTCAGTCAGTGGCGTGAAAGCACATAAGCGTAGGTGGGTGCTGAGCCAAACTTCTGTCTATGCCATCACTCAGTGTGTAACGTAAGTCATTCCCCGCAACAAACATTTGTTCAAAACTCGTGGCGCAATGAATCACGTGAAACACAAACGAACAAAAAGAAAGAAAATATGCTAACAATGCTGACAAGGGCTACGGACAACCAATGCAATATAAAAACATATTGCTTTGTATAATGCTTAGCAGTATTGCAATTGTGTGCTACTGCAATTGCTGCAAACGTTCAGCTGCTCTTGATGCAACTGCTGCTGCTGCTGAGAGCCGGCCTGCTGTAGCTGGTTGCTGTGGTTCTTGGCTGGAAAGGGATTGGGCAGGGGTGTTGACAGGACTTGATGCGGCTGCACCGGCAGTTGTAGCAGCACGCTGGTGCAGCAGCAGCAGTGGCAGCGGCAGCTACTGCTGCCGCTGCCCAAGGACCTCCCTCCCCCCCTCACTGCTACACTCACTGCTCTTCCGTGTGCTGCAATCAGCTCCAGACATGCCGTGAAGATGCTTGAACGAGAGGGGCGAGAGTGGAGGAGGAGGGGGTGGAGTGAGAGGAGAGGGCGGAGGAGGGAGGGGTGAAGTGGGAGACTTCCCATGCCTCCGCTCATTTCCCATCCCGACGCCCCTTTACCATGCCGCCAATTCACATGCCGCCTTCCGCCGCCCCTTCCCATGCCGCAGACCATTTTATGAAGGTTCTACGCCTGCTGCGGCTGCTGCTGCCGCTGCTGCCCCTGGTGCGTGTTGCTCCGCTGCTGCTCCTGGGAGGGCGGACGGCAGCAAGTTGACAAGACACGGGGAGCAGAAGGTTGAAGTGCAAGTGATGGCAGGCATGACTCATGCGATGAGAGCAAAGGCGGAGAGAGCAAAAGCAATGAAGATCCAACCCACTCGCCTCACTCCCCTCACTCGCCTCACCTGCCTCAGTCGTCGCCGCACCTGCGCAGGTCCTCACGGAGTCGGGCAGGCGGCCTCGGAAATGCCTTGCATCGGATGCAAAAACTCTGCCGCGCGACATCATGAGCGGAAGTCGCCTGATCGCGCGATGATCGCGCACCATGCCCTTCTGCTTCTGCGATAGTCGGCCTGCTCGCTTCCCCGCTCTGCTGTTCGGCGCTGCCCCCAATCACGCCGCTGCTCCTGTGCAACGAACGCGCTAACCGCTCGGAGCGCGGCTAACATAATTACTAGCCGCAGCGGTGGCGGAAGCAGTGAGAGGGAGACAGAGGAGCAGCGTGGCCGAAGCGGAGGAGCGGCGCGGCATGGCAGAATCAGGGGCTCTAAAGCCGTGCGCGCATCGCTATGCAGAGTCGCCGCGGTGTGACTCACAATCGGATTTTTGCTAGAATCATAGCACATCATATGTTTTTTGCGGATAGCACTGGCAGTCCGGATAGCACAAGGATCGTCGTAGTCTGTGCGCGCAGTGTGCCTTCGCGGACTTCGATGACCTAATCTGGAGCCGTAGTCGACGATCTACTACGGCAGCGCAAGTAGTCGCGAAAATGGGTTGCTGGGATGTTGCTAGCATGTTAGCGATATCATTTGTGAAGGACGTAGGCTTCAGATTTCGATGGGGTTTCAGTACGGTTTCGAACGGTACAGGAAGAAAACGTAGTTGAGAACGATTCAAGGGTCCCACATTCTTGGATTTGGAATGGAGCGCTGCAGCACCGTTCCCACGTGGATGGCTACCCGACGAAAGCAGCGGAGGTTGAAGCGTGCACACCTTGTTCGGTTCGGGGAGGCTGGTGAGGCACTGTGCACAGCACAAGAACAGGTTGCCTGTGAATTTCCGCGGGTGCACGTGCCCTGGGCTTGTAGCGAAATAAGACACACTGACCTTTTCGTCAGCCAATAAAATATCGACACGCAGCCTGGTAACTTCAGTCGTTAAGTGAAAAGATGTTGTGCTAACGAAATCAGGAAATAAACGCAGCTTGCTTTCGACGACCTCGATGTTAACACGTTTCCTGCTATCGTCAGTAGTGTCTTTTGAACAGCCACGATTATGCCACGTCGGTAGTGTCTTTTGATATTTTTCTCTCATATCCAGGCCATCTAGCTCCAGTCCCAGATGTGTCCGAATGCAAACCGCAAACCAGAGTCCGGGCCGGAATCAGGTGGTTGGCTCAAACGTTGAGAACGATGCAACCGTTTTCAACCGTTTCAGCCAAGCGCGCTGAAATGAATGGGGCAGCAGACGGGACACGTGTACCCAGCCAAGCACTCTCCTCTGTGAAGCTCGCAAACCATCCAGTCTGCCCGAAACAGACAGGACAGGCAAGAAGAGTGGCGAAAAAAATATACTGTTTTAGCTAAACACCGAACGAGCAATGCAGATTAGCAAAAAAATGACTTGTGCGAAATAAACAGCTCAGAAACAAGCAGGGTGAGAGGGATGGGTGGGGGGGGGGGACACTCACTACAGTTCGGTATATTGAGAAAACAAAATCGCAAAGTGCACACCTCCATTGCCCAAACAGTCGTAAGCGCTCACGCTACCAACCCAGCCCAAGTGGAACATAACAGCTGGGTAAAAGTCGTGCGACACGAATCTGGACCCTCAAAGTGTTGAGGTGCGACAGTGGTGCACGACAATTTCCAATTGACGCCACCGTCAACCCTCGCCTCCTGCGAAACACACGTAGGCAGAACAGTTTGACTAGAGATCTCATTGGTTCGACGACTGTCGACGTGTGATTGTCGCATTGTAACCGTCTGTTCAAGGTCGCCAGACCAGCGGATCCGGTCGAAGCGAATTTACAATTCAGCGACCAGTTCACGATTGTAAAATGATTCAAGGGCCCGAGTGATCGTGAACCTCCAAGTCCGCATTATCTTCAAGCGTTGATAAAAAACTGGTGCATTTATCAATAAGTAAAAGAAACAGAACATCAGGTATAAAAATAATTATACACAAGTCATTTCGCAGGAAGAATAAATAATTAGAAGTGTTTTTTTTGAGTGAAAAGATGTAGAGTCGTATTAGGACTAATATATTATATAAATTGACTCTGATGTAATAGTATATGCGCTTATGAATATTACATAATTATAGATCAAGATACGGTTATATGATCTCTATATGGTTAGTTCATGCATTTACAATACATCCTTTGTTTTAAATAATCTAATTGTGAATATATCGTTATTACAAACCAGCACACCTTGTTTTTCAAATGGTTTGTTAGATAATTGCAAGTATGCTTTTGTCGAAATTATCTGCCTAACCGTAAGTCACGGCGGCTGTAAATCGAATCGCTTGAACTGGAGCGCGATGTAAAATTTTCTTGAGGCACACCCGTTTCAGGTGTGATTGGTCAAATTAGGCGCTGCCTGATTCCCGATTTTACAGCTTGACTATACCCACCCACGGCTCGAGTGATCGAGCCGCGTGGGTTTGTTAGTGGGCTTGTGAGGTGCTTCATATTCTGTTTTTGCCTTGGGAAAATATATTTAATCCGTCCCACCCACATGGTACAGTATTGTTTACGTGGGGGGCTCCCATTTCCATCTCGTTTCCATCTGCTTCTGTCGTACGATTTGCGCTTCAGTTAAAATTCTTCCTGCCCTGCATGTTTCAGAATGTTTTGTGGGTGGGGTGGGGTCAAACTGTAAACTTGCTTGCGTTACCTGGAGGTTGGTTCGGTTGGATGTCGGGTCGCCAAGCCTCCCTCCCCTCCTCTCCTCCAACCCCACGCTCCACCTCCTCTATTCTCACGTCACGATCACTTCACCCACGGAAAATCGATGTAGTGCCATTCGACTTAGTAGGAGCTCAGCTCGCGTTTGTTCGTGCGCCTCGCGCGCCTCGCGCCCGTTAGATTTAGATGGTCGTCATCCCTCGCGCTTCCAGCGGTTTCGTTTCGCCGCCCCGCTCGCGCGGATATTGCCTTTTACGAATGCAAACCAGAGTCCGGACGGAATCAGGTGGGTGGCTCACACGTCATCTCCAGAAGCCAGTTTGCCCGTCAAACCCCACTTCCGATCCAAACGCCGATTCCCTCGCATATCCCTCCGCCTCTCCTTGAAGCGCCTCCGTTTGAAAGGTCTCAGTTTGGTTAATTGTTTCCCTCTGAAACGACTGTTTCAGTGCTTTCCGAGTGGCGTCTTCAGCAGCTTCAAAGCCAAGCGCGCGAGGGTGGGGAGGAATCGGAGTTTGAACTGGTGTTTGCTGCAGCTGGCCGATCAGACCTCCTTCCAGGAAGCATCTCCGGGCTTCGTTTCTCCTCCTCCGCTTTTCCCGTTCATCGCTCCACGTCGTCTCGCTTCGTTACAGTCACATCCGTACTAGCGAGGGATGACGTGGTTGCGACAGGCGACGACAGCGGGTCGCAGGCTCAGCAGAGTCGCACGGAGTCGTTCTTGCTGGCGGTAGAAGAAGGAGAGAAGCGCGTGAAGGAGCTGGAGGGTAAGTGAACGCGAAGCAACGCGCGCTGGAGCAACTGCAGGTATATCTACCCATTTGATACACTCACACACGTTCCCTTTCTCCACCCGCCTTCTTATAATCTGTTTTCCTTTTTGCGACAAGGGAAGAAAGAAAGGAATATGTGCTTGAGTGATTAATTTCCGTTTGTTTATGTCGCGCACTTGTGCTGCAGGCTGACATGCCTCTGCTCTATTCTGAGACATTTGCTGGCGTGGAGATTGCAGCGGAATCGGCAGGAGCAGGCGAACAGGAAGGGAAGGAGGAAGAGAAGGAGCAACAGCCTGCTTCTGCTTCTGCTGCTGACGTTCCCCCGCGCGTGTTTGAGAGCCCGCATTGAAAGCATCGAATGCGTGCAGAGGCGCGTCGTCAACAGACACAAAGCCGAGGGCGCGAGGGTGGGGAGAAACCGGGGTTTGAACTGTGTTGAGTTTGGTTTGACTGCCCTTCGATATTAGAAAACTGTATTTTGGTGTTTTGGTAGCTTCCCTCTCTTCTTTTCAAAGCCCTAGTTTCAAGTACCCATTTTTCTCAGTACATGCCCGTTTCCGCGCTGCAGGCGGAAGAACGGCGAGTTTCCGCGCATCAGCAGGGGCAGCGACAAGAGCACGTCGAGCCATGCAGCCATGCACCACCGCGCTGCAGGCAGGCGGAAGTTCGGAGCGCTTCCGCACTGCAAGCGGAAGGTCGGAGCGCTTCCGCGCTGCAGGCGGAAGGTCGGAGCGCTTCCGCGCTGCAGGCGGAAGGTCGGAGCGCTTCCGCGCTGCAGGCGGAAGGTCGGAGCGCTTCCGCGCTGCAGGCGGAAGGTCGGAGCGCTTCCGCGCTGCAGGCGGAAGGTCGGAGCGCTTCCGCGGTGCAGGCGGAAGGTCGGAGCGCTTCCGCGGTGCAGGCGGAAGGTCGGAGCGCTTCCGCGGTGCAGGCGGAAGGTCGGAGCGCTTCCGCGCTGCAGGCGGAAGGTCGGAGCGCTTCCGCGCTGCAGGCGGAAGGTCGGAGCGCTTCCGCGCTGCAGGCGGAAGGTCGGAGCGCTTCCGCGCTGCAGGCGGAAGGTCGGAGCGCTTCCGCGCTGCAGGCGGAAGGTCGGAGCGCTTCCGCGGTGCAGGCGGAAGGTCGGAGCGCTTCCGCGGTGCAGGCGGAAGGTCGGAGCGCTTCCGTGCTGCAGGCGGCAGGTCGGAGCGCTTCCGCGCTGCAGGCGGAAGGTCGGAGCGCTTCCGCGCTGCAGGCGGAAGGTCGGAGCGCTTCCGCGCTGCAGGCGGAAGGTCGGAGCGCTTCCGCGGTGCAGGCGGAAGGTCGGAGCGCTTCCGCGGTGCAGGCGGAAGGTCGGAGCGCTTCCGCGCTGCAGGCGGAAGGTCGGAGCGCTTTCGCGCTTCATGAGCGTGAGCCCCTTTCCAAACATCTCGAGAATTTCTGTTTACCCCCTTCCCCCCGCCACTGAGTTTCTGTCCCCTCGCGCCATCCCCCTCCCTTCCCCTTCCCCTCTTCCGCAACTACTCCTTTTCCACCCTGATCCGCGCCCCTCCCCGCCATTTCCGCATTTCCCTCATCCCCTCTCTCTCCTCTATGCCCTCTCCCCTCTCTCTCCCGGCTCTTTATCTCTTTCCCCTACCCTCCGCTTCCCTCCCCCCTTCCCACCCCGATCACTCTCGCTCCCCTCTCCGTTTCCAGCCCTCGCTTTCGTTTCCTCTCCTTCGCGCACCTTGTGGTAACTCTGTAACGCATTGATCTCGCCCATTCTTTTTCCGTTCCCGTTCTCCTTGTGCATCATGTTCCCCTTTCCGCTTTTCCCCCTGCCGCCTCCCCTTGCTCCCCCGTAGCGTAGCGTAACCCCTATTCCCGTTTCCTCTCTCCCTGTTTCTCCTCTCCCTGTTTTCTCCTATGGACGCCATGACGATATTCCCTTACAATGTGTGGAATGATACAAGTTATTGATATGATGACAATAGGCTCGGCACAGGCACGTGTGAGGCTCGGCACAGCCAGGCGAGGGTTGGCACAGCCAGGCGTGGTGAGAGGCTCGGCACAGCCAGGCGTGGTGAGAGGCTCGGCACAGCTGGGTGAGAGGCTCGGCACAGCTGGGTGAGAGGCTCAGCACAGCCAGGTGAGGGTCGGCTCGCTGCTGCTTGAACTCTCCCATTCACCTCTCTGGTGCCAGCCTCGAAGATGCGATGATAAAGATAGAATAATAGGAGTCATTAGGAGTTTTTGATATGTATGCTTGTATGTAACATCACACATGAGCTAGTCTGGCCAGGTCCGTCCTGGCCAGGCTCGGGGAGGTAGGGTCGGTTCGGCCTAGGTCCGGGAGGGGGGGAGGGGGAGGAGGTCTGATTGGGCCAAATACAGATACAGATACAGTGACAGTGACCGAAACAGGGACAAATACAGACACAGGGACAAAAACGGAAGGCAAACAGGGACAGAAGCGAGGTCAGGGACAGAGCGTAAATGGAAGACAAACAGGGAGAGAAGCAGCAGGGACAGGGAGAGGGACACACCAACAGCCGACAGAAACAGGAATGGAAGACAATGAGAGAGAAGCAGGGACAGGGAGACGGATGGAAAGAGGCCAGATGTGAGGCCTACATGGCCTTTTGGCAGGTGGTGCCTGTGTGTGACTCGGCCAGGCCAGCCAAGCGATTTGAGGGGGCTGTGTGGGGGGGGGGGGGGAGGGCTGTGTTGGGGGGGGGTGTGTATGGGGGGCTGTGTGGGGGGGCTGTGAGGGGGGCTGTGAGGGGCGTTGGGGGGTAGGGGGCCCTTCGGGGGGGTCATGGAGGGGTTTTCACTCGCTTCTCGTTATTATCACTCTTGTTGTCCACTTTCTGCATCCTAGTACCATGGTCCTCTGTTATTATCTATTGTTTTTAAACCTTCAAGGTTGAGATGTTGTATTGTCTTGGGGGAAGAAGCAATGAGCTGGTGTGGTGATAGGGCACAGACACCAAGCAGGTTGGAATCAGCAGCCCCTCCCTTCCCTCCTGCTTGATGTTTCTCCACATGATATATGATTCTATTTACGGTAAACAAAGCAACAAGCCAGTCCACAACCTATTTACAGTACAATCATACCCATTGTTAAGATTCCTAAACATGTCAATCTTGCGACGGTATCTCTTGGTGATCAACATGCCGCATGTATCTCCGCGCTTCACACTGTACAATCGCTTGGTTGAACATGTATTGCCAGATAACGGCCGGCCGTCAACACTAGCCACACAAATCTGTGAGTCAACCATCAGTGAGGAACAGGATGGAAGGGGAAGAAAAATAAACTGCATTGAATAACCTTCACACACAGAGGCAGAGACAGAGACAGAGGCAAGACATCGACAGCGGCACCAGACACAGGCACAGGCACAAGCACAGGTACTATTTGCAGCGTATAGCGTATAACCTCCTTCCACTCCACCCCACACACAGACCTTCCCGACTCACCCTTCTCATCATATTGCCCTGCAGGGGGCTGTAGGGCAGCAGCGAGTCGCACAAGAGGTCAAGATTCAACTGGAAGAAGCGCATCGGACTTCTTGCTCCTCCCTCAGCCCACAACTCACACCCGCAACCGCTCGACTCTCACCCTCCCAGCCCAACTCACCCTTCTCATCATGTTGCCCTGCAGGGGGCTGTAGGGCAGCAGCGAGTCGCACAAGAGGTCAAGATTCAACTGGAAGAAGCGCATCGGACTTCTTGCTCCTCCCTCAGCCCACAACTCACACCCGCAACCGCTCGACTCTCACCCTCCCAGCCCAACTCACCCTTCTCATCATGTTGCCCTGCAGGGGGCTGTGCGGCAGCAGCGAGTCGCACAAGAGGTCAAGATTCAACTGGAAGAAGCGCATCGGACTTCTTGCTCCTCCCTCAGCCCACAACTCACACCCGCAACCGCTCGACTCTCACCCTCCCAGCCCAACTCACCCTTCTCATCATGTTGCCCTGCAGGGGGCTGTAGGGCAGCAGCGAGTCGCACAAGAGGTCAAGATTCAACTGGAAGAAGCGCATCGGACTTCTTGCTCCTCCCTCAGCCCACAACTCACACCCGCAACCGCTCGACTCTCACCCTCCCAGCCCAACTCACCCTTCTCATCATGTTGCCCTGCAGGGGGCTGTGCGGCAGCAGCGAGTCGCACGAGAGGCCGGGGTTCATCTGGAAGAAGCGCGTGGGGGAGGCGATGGCAAACGCCCGCCACAGCTGCTGGCAGGTCTGCGGGCCCTGGAGGACCGTCACGAGCACACCTACGCTCGTGTAGTTGGCTAGAGGCGGAGGAGGAGGGGGTGGTTGAGGGCTGGGTGAGGTTGTGGGCGGGGTTTGTGTCACGGCTGGGGTGATTTGGGCCTGGAGCTTGCATGATATGCGGGTCATTCCCTCTTCTAGCCACGTCTGGTTGAGGGATACACAGAGGAGCTGGGAAGGAGGGAGGGAGGAGAATGGGGGAGAGGGGGGAGAAGGGGGAGAAGAGGGGGAGTGGGGAGAGGAATGTGTGAAATGATGTGAGATCGGGTTCTGAGACTTTGGAGAACAAACTACCCTAACAACCTGTCATTGCAGCAGCTTCTGTTACCAGCGCACCTGCATTCTTGTCAGCCATCTACACTCACCTTCACCCACCTACACCCACCTCGACCCACCTACGCTCACCAACACCCACCTACACCCCCCGAGACCCACCAACACATACCTGCAACCACAAGCACTCACCTGCACCTGCATCCACACTCACGTGCCCTCACCTAACTCACTTGCACCCATCTGCACCGATGCTCACCTGGCCGGGTCTGGGCCCATCAGAGCAGGTGAGGGCGGGGTTGAGCGGCTGTATCTGCGTGGAGAAGAGGGCGTTGAGTGAGTCACACGTGTCACCCTGCACACGCATGTCAGGTATAGGAGGAGTGGAAGAGGAAGCGTGGTTACTGGAAGGATTGAGTTGAGTGGCTGTAACTGCGTGGAGAAGAGGGCGTTGCGTGAGTCACACGTGTCACCCTGCACACGCATGTCAGGTATAGGAGGAGTGGAAGAGGAAGCGTGGTTACTGGAAGGATTGAGTTGAGTGGCTGTATCTGCGTGGAGAAGAGGGCGTTGAGTGAGTCACACGTGTCGCCCTGCACACACATGTCAGGTATAGGAGGAGTGGAAGAGGAAGCGTGGTTACTGGAAGGATTGAGTTGAGTGGCTGTATCTGCGTGGAGAAGAGGGCGTTGCGTGAGTCACGTGTCACCCTGCCGGCACACAGGGAAATAGGCGAGTGAGTGTCTGGGAAAGAGACGAGGGGGTTTGAAGGGAGAAGGCACGTGGAGGGAGAAGGCACGTGGAGGGAAGGGGCAGATGGAGGAAGTGGGAAATGCAAACACAGGTGGCGATTCAGAGTGAGCAGTGAAGCGGGGTTAAGTTTTGAGATTAGGCTCAAAGGCGCTTACATAAACACACTGGGGTTTACACAAACGCACTGGCACTTGGATAAGCGCACTGGAACTTGGAATAAGGCACTGGAAACTACTTCAACACACCGGCACTTACATAATTAGCAGTGTACATGGCAGTGCATTGGGAGAAAGCCCGGCTGGTGACGTTAACAAGAGTGCCTACAGGGATGGGCGCTCGGCACTGGAACCCCTGCAGTCAGAACAAGGAGACATAGAGGAGAGGATTGGTCAGAACATGGGTATCTGACAGAAAAGAAACACTAAACAGGCAAGACGGGAAGGGGGGTATGGGTTTGGACGCTCTGCTGTTACAAGGAGAGATTCGAACGAGGCAGGCCGAATGGGTGGTGGGAAGAATGAGCGGAAAGTGAGGAGCAGTGAGAGAAAGTGAGGGGGGGTGGGTGGAAGCGAGGGGAATTGAGTTGAAGTGAGGGGCAGAGAGGGGAAGTGAGAGAAACTGAAGGGCAATGTGTGGCGATGAGGGGAAGTGTGGCTGTGCCGTGACCAGAAAGGGGAAATATTGAGCTTTCAGACGGACCTTGTTTTGGCTCCAGAATTCCGCTTGGGAGAGCCCATAGGTGTTGAGTTGAGGATGAGAGAGCATGTGATGTGATGTGATGCGATGCCACACAATGTGCTGCGAGATGAATGTGCTGTGAGATGAATGTGCTGAGCTGAACTAAACACAGCCCCTTTAACCAAAGCCCACCAAAGCCCTCCTGAGCTTGTTTTGGTTGAAGAAGTCTGCTTGGGTGAGCCCATAATTGTTGAGGATGAGCGGGCATGGGACATGGAATGTCCTGACCCCAATCAATCTACAGCTTGAACCTTCCTTCAGTCCAATGTCAGACCTTGTTTTGGCTGAAGAAGTCTGCTTGGGTGAGCCCGTAGGTGTTGAGGATGAGCGCGCATGTGAGGCCGTAGGGCGACAGGAAGGTGGGCATTCGAGTCTCAGCCAATCGCACTGCATGCACGGGGGGTAGGCATGCACGGGGTAGGCATGCATGGGGTAGGCATGCATGGGGTAGGCATGCATGGGGTAATAACGAGAACGATATAAGTCCACGTGATGAGCCCATAAGAAGTAAACACAGGAGACACGAGGTCCATGTGATGTGATGAGAGCCATGACGATAAGAGCTATCGGATGGGCCATGTGATAGAAGTAGCGTTTTGAAATGTCTCAAAATACGAGGTGCATGTGATGAGAGCCATGACGATAAGAGCCATCGGATGGGCTGAGATAGAACAGGCACACATGTGAGAGAGGGGCATGTGAGAGAGGGGCATGTGAGAGTTGGGCGTATGACAGTGGGGCGTGTGAGAGCGGTGACGTGTGAGAGCGGTGACGTGTGAGAGCGGTGACGTGTGAGGGGTGTGTGTGAGAAGAGGGGGTAGGCGAGGGGTCAGAGGCATGAGCTGAAAATCAAACCTTGTTTAAGACCATCTGACCATGTGGTACGCACAATGGTAACAGCGGGCAGCGCCTTTGGGGTAAAAGTAGAAGGGGAAGTAGGGCGAGGGGCAGAGGCAGGAGTAGGTGCCATCTATGTCATCAATGCACACCCCCGGGGCACACGGGTTGCGGGGGAACTGGCGACATGTGAAGGAATCTGGTTTAGGGAGGGCGAGGGAAGGGGAAAGACAATCGGGGAAGCAGAGTGGGAAGAGAGCAAGAGTGAGTGAGCAGCAGACTAGGACACCATTGATGCACATCCCAAAGGGCACATGGGATAAAGGTAGAGTTTTGAGACGTCTCACAACTCTACTTATATCAAGTGCGTGAGCAGCAGACTAGGATACCATTGATGCACATCCCATGTGCCCCTGGGATGTGCATGACCAATTGGGCTTGCCTCACTACCAAATGCTCACCCACCACACTCTGCCTCTCACCCACCATGCTCCACCTCTAACCTACCGCACTCCACCTCTCACCTACTGCACTCCACCTCTCACCTACTGCACTCCACTTCTCACCTACTGCACTCCACCTCTCACCTACCACACTCCACCTCTCACCCACCTACCGCTCTCCGCCTCTTGCCTACCTCAGTCCACGGCTCACCAGGGAAGCAGGAGGGCAGGCCGGCAAGGTGGGAGGGTTGGAAGGAGGGGAGCTTCAAGGGGCACTTGCAGGAGGGCACGAGGATAGACGGGTCCCACGGGGCACGTGCCTTGGTGCACACGCCCGTGCCACAGGGCTGCACGGGAGAGGCCTTGCAGGGGTCGGTGTCTGTTGGGGGAGCGGGGGGAAGGGGGAAGGGAGGGGGGGGAGGAGGATGGGAAGGGGGAGTGTGCGGAGGTATGAGGCAGGAGGAGAGAGAGGTCCAGGTATGAGACAGCAAATGCCTTGAAGCATGCAACCATGGAACAGAGGAGCACTGGAGAGGCGTTGCAGGGGATACGCGGGGGTTCGTGGGGTTACAATAACGAAAATCCTCCCTCCCCTCTTCCTACCTCTTCAGAGCAGGCACGTGGCTTGCTACCCCTCCCCTTCCTTCCCTCCCCCCCAGCTCCCCCCCTTCCCCTCTCCCTACCTGTGAATCGGAAGGTCCAGGAGGAGAGGGTGACAGGGGCAGGGCATGTGGCTTGCTACCCCTAAGCCCTTAACGATAAACTCGAAACCCTAAATCCTGGCTTGCTACCCCTAAGCCCTTAACAATAAACTCGAAACCCTAAATCCTGGCTTGCTACCCCTAAGCCCTTAACGATAAACTCGAAACCCTAAATCCTGGCTTGCTACCCCTAAGCCCTTAACGATAAACTCGAAACCCGAAATCCTGGCTTGCTACCCCTAAGCCCTTAACGATAAACTCGAAACCCTAAATCCTGGCTTGCTACCCCTAAGCCCTTAACGATAAACTCGAAACCCTAAATCCTGGCTTGCTACCCCTAAGCCCTTAACGATAAACTCGAAACCCTAAATCCTGGCTTGCTACCCCTAAGCCCTTAACGATAAACTCGAAACCCTAAATCCTGGCTTGCTACCCCTAAGCCCTTAACGATAAACTCGAAACCCTAAATCCTGGCTTGCTACCCCTAAGCCCTTAACGATAAACTCGAAACCCTAAATCCTGGCTTGCTACCCCTCCCCTCTTTCCCTCCCCCCCATCTCGACCCATTCCCCTCCCCCCTACCTGTGAATCGGAAGGTCCAGGAGGAGAGGGCGACGGGGGAAGGCAGGCGGCCAGGGGGGGGAGGGAGGGCAGCGCTGGTGAACCCAACGACCAGCTGCCCGAACGATGGCGACCATAGGTCCGTTGCACTGCTGCTGTCACTGCTGCTGCTGCTGCCACTTGTGGTGGTGGTGCTGGTGTTTCTGCTGTTGCTGCTGCTGCCGCTACCAGTGCCGCCGCTGCTGCTTGTGCTTGTGTCAGGGCCCCCAGTGAGAGCAGCACAGAGGTCAAGGGAGACTTTCATGCTGCCTACTAGAACAGGGGGTTGGTACCATCTGATCAGCATCTCCTTGCTCCTCCCGTGATAGTCAACCCTCATCTGCAACACCTCCTCTGCCTCCACCACATTTGACACCTCCTCCTCGAAAATCGAAGTCATGTTGAAATCGGTGTTAACGCCTATGTGATAAGCATTTGGATCATCAGTTTCCGGGTTTGTTACAGCCTGTGGGTGCCATAGCACAGCTACACTCCGCGCGCCGTCTGGCCAGCTGCCGTTAGTGAGTCGCGAGGATGGGTCCCGGCCGTACCCCATATAAGCCCCGGCTAGGCCCACACTCGCATGTGTGCTTATAACGAATGCGAGCCCTTGAGACGGGGAAACATTCATGGAAAAGCCATAGTTGAAGGTGAACGAACGAGCCATGCAGATTGGGGGTTCGGTTGCTGTGGTTTGAGGAGGGGAGGGGGGAAGGAAGGAGAGGAATGGGGGGAGCTGTGAGGACGAGGAGGAGGAGGAGGAGGAGGGAAGGGAGGGGAGGAGGAGGAGTAGAGGAGGGGGAGACGGCGAGGGAAGTAGATGGCTCCAGGGGCGGGATCGTCTGATTGGCCACTGGATGATGCCACGTCAGCAGCGACGGAGAGATCAGCGGCAAAGAATCGCTTCCTGGTGCTGCCACGTGTCAGAAGGGGAGTGGCTGGCGTGATGTAGGGGAAGGAGAACGAGTCTGCCGCCCAAAACGGAAGCTGATCCTCTGCTGCTGGGGTTGGCATGGTATGGGGGCGGGGGCAGTGGGGGGAGGGTTAGGCATGAGTAAATGTTCAACCTTAGGCTAGGATGTGGACCGTGGGACACTGGAACTATGGCAGGTAGGTTCCATGGAGGTTCGCTCCTCCTTTTCACCACCCACCAAAACGGCAGCAAATTCGTTGCAGAAGGGGGTTGGCATTGTATGCTCCAGCATTCCACCCCCACTGATTCCTTCTCACCACCACCACCGCCCTTCCCCCTGCTCCTCTTGCCCTCCCCCTCTCCTCCCGACGACCATCCTGCTCCAGACAACCGCCTTGCTCCCATACCACTCCCCTTCTTCCCTCCCTTTCTCCCCCTTGCCGCCCCGCGTGTACCAGCACCACGGACGGTAGCAACACTCACAACAGCACCCTCAAGAACCGCCCGGTTGTCTGCTCCTCCCACAGTCAGCACAGGTACATCCCCCAATCCATCACCCGAGCCCTTTCCCAGTCCATCCTCCCCAATACACCCCCCCTCTCCCTCCCCATCCCCGTCCCCATCCTCCCTAATTTCGTGGTCTTTCCGCTTCCCACTGCCAATCCCTGCTCCTCCTGTCTCCCCAGCAGCAAGCATCGCTGCTTTTCTCCCCTTGGGGCCCCACTCTCTACGAGCATTCACCCTGCCACCAGCACCACCACCAGCAGCAGCAGCAACTCCTGCCGCTCCTCCTCTCCCTTTCCTCCCGACCATCGCCCCCCTCCCCACGCCTGCAGCAGCAGCCGCGCTTGCTGCTGCTATCTCCAGCTGTCGTATCCTCTCCCCCACCGTCCCTCTCACCCTACCTTGCCCCATGCCCGCACCTCCTCCTCTCCCTCGCCCCCCCGTCCTCCCACCCTCTCTCTTCCGCCTCGTTCTGCCTGGAGTCATCACAACCCCTGAGGTAAGGCCAGTATTTCCGCTCCCTATAACGAGGACAACGGTTTCCCCTGCGCCCATCTCCTCTTCTCCTTCTGTGCTTTCGAAGGTCACCCCCAGCCGTCTCTCCCCTCCATGTCCCTCCCCATCTGTATCCATCTCAACCGCATCAGAAAGAAGCGTGGCCGTTCCAAACGCCTGCCTTCCCTTCCCCGTTGCTCGTTTCCCTCTGCTGCTGCTGTTTCCCTCGCCATTGCCATTTCTCCTGCTCCCCCCGCTGCAGTCCAACCCGTTATTGTCACACCCTGATGCAAAACCCTCCCTGCTCGGCTCACCACCCATTAAAACGCCACAAGCACCGCATTCCACTCCTTCGTCTTCCCCGCTTGCTTCAGCCCCAGCCTCCCTGCAACTCGCACCGTCATTTCCCAAACACTCCTCATCCAGACGTCTCGAAGCCTCTCCCAACCCGCACCCATCGTCTCCTCCTCTGCTCGTGCTCGTGCTCGAGCTCGTCGGCACATGACAGGGTGAGTTCGGCAGTCCCTGCAACGCCTGCTTCCCCTGCTGCCGCTTCTGCACCTGGCTCTTCATAGCATGGGGGGAATTACCCAAGTTTGACCCTGCGGGTTGCCCTTTCCGTCTCGGGGACGCTCTGTCTGCGGGACCGAGAACGGACCCCGTTCTAAGCGACCCATCTCTCTTCATTCTACCGTTCGCAGCGTTAGGGTTACCACTACTACCCAATGCGTCTGAGGAATCTGTGTCTGTAGTGGCGCCGCTGCTGACGCTACGCCGGACAGCCTTCACGTTCGCGTTGCCGCCGCCGCCGCCGCCGCCGCCGCCGCCGCCGCCGCCGCCGCCGCTGCCGCTGACGGTGCTCTTGCTGCTCTTGCTGGCCTTACTCGCTTTTCGAACCGGCCCCGCTGCTCCGGCGGTTCTTACTCCTCCGGTCTTGGACTGTTCGAAGAGAGACCTCAGCTGCCGAACGCTCACGTTAGACGACAAGCCGGGACTGCTTGGGCGGCGAGGGCTGGCGCGTAGCGCAGCAAGGTCCTGGGGTTGCGGCCCTTTGATTCGCTCCGTGTGCTGCCGTAGTTGCTCGGCTGTCAGCTCTGCGGCTTGCCCTGTTGCCGGCCGACCTGCCACTACCTTCTGTGGTTCCGCTCTAGACTGCTTCCCTTCTTCCTGCTGACCGTTCGCTTCCCTATCCTGCCGTATCTGCTCGGCAGTCAGCAATGAAGCTTCCTCTGTCGTTGACCAAACTCCTGACACCGGCCGATCAGGCACAACCTTTTCTCGTTCTGCTCTAGACTGCTCCTCCTCCAGCTGCTGCTCGTTCGCTCGCTCCTTTGCCTTCCCTTTCTCCTGCGGTTTCCGTTTCGCCGAGGACGAGCGAGGGCGGGGAAGCTTCTTTTTCTCCGCTTTAACTGCCTGACCCGTATCCCGTCCCTGGCCAGACGACTGCTCGAGAGTCGTTTCCCGAGCCTGGTCAGAATCCGTTACCGTCTCAGAATCCGTCACCTGCTGGGATTCCGGTATCTGTTTATGAACTACGGCTCCTATCCGCTCGTCCATCGCAAAACGCTCGCATTGCCTTTCGGCAGTTCGACTCATGTGCACCTAATTTACATAATGTCGGTGGTTGTTTGCGAGGTGCCCAGTTATGTTGATCGGGGTTCTGGTGGTTATTTTCGTCTGTCCTGGCCACGTCCCACCGAAAGCTGCCTCAATTTCGCGAATGATAAACCTGTCGTTTTTTGCAGCGTGGTTACAATTTCGTTACAATCGCCAATAAGGCAGGACATCCTTGCTCACGTCCAGCCATCTGGGGCCGTAGGTTCAAATCGGACACCCTTGCGAACCACGTCGCGCGATCGTGAGCACGCACAGCCAGTTTCGCATAACGAAAAGCTTCGCGAATCCCAGGGGTAGATGTTGATGTGCTGCTGGCGCACAAAACAACCTTCGCGATGGTTGGACTTGAATTCGCTGAAGGTATCGGTTTTCGTTCTCGGTTTCGCAGCTGGAACAGAAGAACCAGACACCCCTTGTGCAGACGGCTCTGTTCAAATTGGTGAGGGCCTTGTTTCAGCATCCTCGTTTACAGTGCATTTTTCATGCAGGAAAGAATGCTGTGATGTGACCTAATTTTGCATTCCCCAGCAAACAGACTTCTTTCCTACGTCGGTTTCCCCCTGTACACCGGAAAATATTCTCAACCATCTGGAGAGGCGGAGAGATAAAGGGCGAAGAGAGCGGGAGAATAAAACGGAGGCTTGAGTGCGAAGCTCCCAGAGTGAGAGGAGCTGTTTAAGAGACAAAGGAGGCCCACAATGGGAGGGGGTGAGAGAAATGGTCGTCCGGGAACATTAGTTACGCAAGCTGCGGGCAATCCGGAAGGGTTCAAGGAAGAGGAGGAAAAGAGGGAGCCTTCCATAGAGGAGAGCTCATCGCAAAAAAAAGGGCTTCTGAAAGCTACCGCAAAGCAACTTTGCGGTAGCTCTGGGGTTGGTTTGGAGGGTGCTACCTTGGGGTTGCTGGCAAGGTTACGTTGAAGCTGCTGTTGGGCTCGCGACATTACAATGAAAAATTTGCGACGAATCTGTGCGGCACATCTCGAAGGAGATGAAGCTACTTCAGCGTAACTCTCATTCTGGTTTCTCTTGTACATAACATTGAAATTTGATCTGGACCGCACATCGCCAGATTCTCGAAGCTACTCTCGCGTAGCTATGAACATGACGAGAACAATCCAGGACACGTGTCTTGCACCTATTCCTGGCATTCTGATCGTACTAACAGTCGCAAGCCAATCGGATTTGTCGAAGAGTCTAAAACGAAAATGTTAGCGAGCTTGCTCGAAAGCTATGCCAACTGTTATGTTTCTCAGTTACGAAACTGGTTACGATTTGGTACAGTGATTCTGAGAAAGCTTGTATAATTATGATAAATCATAAACGTTCAAAACGTTACCGAGTTACCTCGTAGTAGTAACACTTGCGGAAAATACGTAGGGTTCAGAACAGACGTATAATATAATCATTACAAAACACAATTCGTATAAATCAACCATGCTATTGATGTTTTTCATTACTCTTTTATTAGCATGTTTCAAATCTTTACAATGAAAAGATGTACACACAACATTTGATTTACATAACACAGAAATTGTCAACAAGCATCCAAGGAACAAGCTTCCTGTTACATCCACGACACATAGGGGTCATACGGAACTAGGAGCTGCACAATAAGAGCAACGTCAGAGAACAAAAACAGAAGCAAAATTGGAGAGTTCACTTACAGCTTCAACCAAACTGTTCTCCGCCACTGGGTGAAAAGTAAGCTACCTGCAAAACATCCAGGAAATAAAAGCAAACGCAAAACCAGTATCAAGTAATTGACTGGCGTGAGCCACATGCAGAGGAAGCAGTGGGGATAACCTCACCACGAACCCTGGCAGAATCTCCGACGCACAGCGTTCCGTGACGCTTGCAGACGACCTGTACAAATGCAAGAAAACAATAATACAAACCACGTGGACACGACAAAACTTAAGACCGACCAATGCGTAAATGCCGGAAAAGGGGAACAAAAGCGGAAAATACTCAGCTGGAAAGTGGAAAATACTTATGAAACTACGTTTTCATGCAGGTGCGAGCGTGCGTATGAATGTACGTACGTGCGAACGAATGTAGGTATGCGCGTGCAAGTGTAGGCACTCATGAAATCTCATGCGGGACGCGCTGGTCGCGCAGCATGCACTGGGAGCGATGCACATGCCACTTGCGTGCGCGCATGTACCGGCGCAGGCACTCGACGGATCATAATATCTGCGCGGGTTTGGAGACTGGGCTGAGAGATGCGCACTGTGTAAATGAGTAAGCAGGAATGGGGTGAACTATGAATGAAAGCAGTACAAATATGAAACCCTAACTTGGTTGTACCCCCTATGGGATACCCCACTACAGCCTACACAGCAGTATAAGCTATAGATATGTTCTGACACACCCCCATAGGCAAAGTGGGGGAGAACAAGGGGTCACAAGACCAGTCAAGCAAGACAAAGCAAAGCTCAGGGTGGATCACAAAGTCACCACACAGTCCGAGCACAAGAGCAAGGCCAAAGGCCAGTTCACAAGCAAGAGTACAGACATATATATATAAAACTAGACAAGCAAGAGCAGGTATATATATATGTCACAATACAAGTAAAGTCAAGAGGAGAGCAAGTGAGGCAAGACAGGCACAAGACCCAGCTGGGTGCAGAAGCGCTGATGGTCACAAGGCGCAAGTGCCTTGGTGAACACATCAGCAGTGTTGGCCTCAGAGGCCACGTACGCAAGTCGCAACTGACCACGCTGCTGCAACTCACGAGCAAGGAAGTAGCGGAGAGCAATGTGCTTCGTTCTGTGCTCCAAGCGCTGCTCTCGACACAAGGCCAGCATAGCCTTGTTGTCTACGTACAGCACTGGAGGAGAACGAGGCGGCTCTCCAAGGTCAGTCAGCAGGTAGGTGAGCCAGCGAAGCTCCTGTGCAGCCATGGCTCCGGCGTAGATCTCAGCCTCACAACTGGAGCCGAGAACCGAAGACGAGCGAGTAGACCGCCACGAGACAGAGCCGGAACCAAGGCTGAAGGTGTAACCCTGTGACGACCGCTGCGTAGCCTGGTCGTCAGCCCAAGAAGCGTCCGCGTGGCCGGTAAGGACCACTGGACTCCGCCCTCCAAGCACTAGCCCCATGCCTGACGTACTGCACAGGTAGCGCAATACCCTCTTCGCTGCAGCCATGTGCTCCGGTCTGTGTCTCCCAGGAGCAACATAGCGTGCAAGAATGCTCAGAGGGTATGCAAGGTCAGGTCGTGTGCAGGTCATCAGGTACATGAGGCAGCCAACAAGCTCTGCATACGGACCACTCGACTCTACGGACTCATCCGAAGGCAGAGCTGAGAGTGAGTGGCGAGTAGGCAGAGGAGTGGCCTGAGGCGAGGAGTACGTGAAGCCGAAGCGCTGAAGGACCTGCTGCACCATGTGTGACTGAGTCAAGGTAATGGTGCGGCGTGCTCTGTCCCGAGTGATCTGCAAGCCAAGGTAGCTGCGCAGTTCACCCAGGTCTGTGCACGTGTGTCTCTTCAGCAGCTCGGACTTCACGTAGGCGAGTCCAGCAGTGTCCGCTGTGGCAAAGACCAAGTCGTCGACGTACACGAGGATGTAGAACGGCGGCAGGGAAGTGTCGGTGCGAAGAAACAGCGACGGGTCAGCAGTAGAAGGAGCAAACCGAAGAGCCGCAAGCGTAGTCCTCAGTGTGTCGTGCCACTCACGCGGTGCCTGGCGGAGACCGTAGACTGGCCGTCTGAGGCTCCACTGGGTGCCAGGAGGGAAAGTCCCAGTGAAGCCAGGTGGACGGCGAAGCCAGATCTCCTCGTGCAGGCTACCCTGCAAGAACGCAGTGCTGAAGTCGAGAGAGTGAAGCTCGTAGTCGCGCTGAGCGGCTATGTGCAGCAGCACCCGAAGAGTAGTCATCTTCGGGGTGGGAGAGAAGGTCTGAAAGTAGTCAACTCCCTGCCGCTGACTGAAGCCACGAGCAACGTACCGTGCCTTGAAGACAGGTGGAGAGCCCGGCGGCCGCTTCACCCTGAAGATCCACATGCCACTGACGATGTTCGCCCCAGGAGGGGGAACCGCGTCAACGTAGGTGCCTGTGGACTTCCAGGAAGCCATCTCTGCATCCATGGCTGCCTGCCACTGAGAGGAGTAGGGGCCCTCTACGGCCTCCGCGTAAGAACGCGGAGTCGGGATGTCTAGTGCATCCGGGTCTCCCTCAGGGGCAAGCAGTACAGACGCGAGATGAGGTAACACCGGTAACCCTCATTCTCCTCACTATAATCCACAACATACATAGCAGTAAGGATAGCATCAAAATCAAGATCAAAGATCGCTACACCAGCCCTGAGAAGCTCATCCCAGCGAGGGATCTCACTAGCCCCAGGGAACTGCTGACGCCAAGCGTCCGTCAGGCGGCCAAAGCAGCGCTGGGTGGCGTGGGCACCCCCACATTGCTCACCCGCGCGGTCGCCGGAACGAAGAACGTAGGTGCAGGGACCAGTACCCCCACCCCTCTGACGCCCAGCGTACCACTCACGAAGCTGCTGAGGCGAAGGGATGTCCCGTGAGCGCTGCTGCTGCTGCCGGTGCGAGCGCTGGCCACCACCACCGCCGCTACGCTGCTGGGTACCACCCCGACCAGCTCCACCTCCTCCACCACAACTGCCTCCGCCGCTGCCGCCTCCACTGCCTCCACCTCCGCCGCCTCCACCTCCGCCGCTGCCTCCACCACCACTGCTGGCACCACCACCACCGTCTCCGCCGCTGCTGCCACCACCACCACCACCACCCCCGCCACTAGTCCCGCCGCCACCCCCACTCCCTCCGCAGCCACCACCGCCACCGCCACCGCCCCCCCCCAGCTCCACCCGCGCCCTTGCCTCCCTTGCCCTTGCTGGAGCGACGTCTCCCACCAGGGGCAGACGCCGCGCCGACCGACTCAAGACCAAGCAGGTCGGCAGCAGCAGCAGAGGCAACAGAGGGCAGCAAGGGGGAAGGAGAGCACCCCTCAAA